AGCGTTCGAACATTCCATGTGGCCACCCGTAGTGGCTTTTCGTTGTTTCTGGAGGAGCCCCGAGGGTAGATATTCAATCTCCTGGCTCCACCAATTGGGGTTTGGCCAGGAGACGTCATAGACGCCTGGCCCCCCGGGGCCTCCGGCACAAGCTTATTAGTTACATATTTCAATTTAACTCGTGGTTTAGTGGTAATTATTTGAAGGTGGAGGGGTTACCAGCCCTTCGCACCCGTCCAGAGCCCCCGTATAGCCCCTGTGGTGGACACAGATGCCATGAGGGGAGGAGCCAATCGAAATTGGACCTCCCCCCACAGCACTGTCCACGACAGAGTTGCCCGTCCGGCACCGCGAGGAGGTAGGCGGTTGTTTTGCCGGACTCATTCACTCACCCACTCATTCACCCACTCACTCATTCACCCACCCACTCATTCACCCACTCACTCACCCACCCAATCACCCACTCATCCACCCATTCACTCAATCACCCACTCACTAATTCACCCACCCACTCATTCACTCACCCACTCATTCACCCACTCACTCATTCGCCCACTCACTCATTCACCCACTCACTCATTCACCCACTCACTCATTCACCCACCCACTCATCCACCCACTCACTCATCCACCCACCCACCCACACAAAGACTGTAACAGGCTGTAGGGGCAAGTGCTGTTAGTTGTGAGCAGCACCAATGAAGGCTACCGGCACTGTGGCTACACACAGAGGGGGTGGCCACCAGCACCACCACGCCGGCCGCCTTTGTCTCTCCCCCAGTGACACGGCGGGGGAGACGCAACATAGACACAGTAGAGACAGTAGACACAACATAGACACAGTAGACACAACATAGACACAGTAGACACAACATAGACACAGAGACAGTAGACACAACATAGACACAGTAGACACAACATAGACACAGTAGACACAACATAGACACAGTAGACACAACATAGACACAGTAGACACAACATAGACAACGTAGACACAACATAGACACAGTAGACACAACATAGACACAGTAGACACAACATAGACAGTAGACACAACATAGACACAACATAGACACAGTAGACACAACATAGACACAGTAGACACAACATAGACACAGTAGACACAACATAGACACAACATAGACACAGTAGACACAACATAGACACAACATAGACACAGTAGACACAACATAGACACAACATAGACAACGTAGACACAACATAGACACAGTAGACAAAACGTAGACACAGTAGACACAACATAGACACAGTAGACACAACATAGACACAGTAGACACAACATAGACACAACATAGACACAGTAGACACAACATAGACACAGTAGACACAACATAGACACAGTAGACACAACATAGACACAGTAGACACAACATAGACACAACATAGACACAGTAGACACAACATAGACACAACATAGACACAGTAGACACAACATAGACACAGTAGACACAACATAGACACAACATAGACACAACATAGACACAACATAGACACAGTAGACACAACATAGACACAGTAGACACAACATAGACACAGTAGACACAACATAGACACAGTAGACACAACATAGACACAGTAGACACAACATAGACACAACATAGACACAGTAGACACAACATAGACACAGTAGACACAACATAGACACAGTAGACACAACATAGACACAGTAGACACAACATAGACACAGTAGACACAACATAGACACAGTAGACACAACATAGACACAACATAGACACAGTAGACACAACATAGACACAGTAGACACAACATAGACACAGTAGACACAACATAGACACAGTAGACACAGTAGACACAACATAGACACAGTAGACACAACATAGACACAGTAGACACAACATAGACACAGTAGACACAACATAGACACAGTAGAGACACAGTAGAGACACAGTAGACACAACGTAGACACACAGTAGACACAACAACATAGACAGTAGACACACAGGAGACAGTAGACACAACAACATAGACACACAGTAGACACAGTAGACACAACATAGACACAGTAGACACACAACATAGACACAGTAGACACACAGGAGACACGGTAGAGACACAGTAGAGACACAGTAGACACAACATAGACACAGTAGACACAACGTAGACACAGTAGACACAACATAGACACAGTAGACACAACGTAGACACAGTAGACACAACATAGACACAGTAGACACTACATAGACACAGTAGACACAGTAGACACAACATAGACACAGTAGACACAACATAGAGACAACATAGACACAGTAGACACAACGTAGACACAACATAGACACACAGGAGACACAGTAGACACAACATAGACACAGTAGACACAACATAGACACAGTAGACACAACATAGACACAGTAGACACAACATAGACACAGTAGACACTACATAGACACAGTAGACACAACATAGACACAGTAGACACAACATAGACACAGTAGACACAACATAGACACAACGTAGACACAACATATACACAACATAGACACAGTAGACACAACGTAGACACAGTAGACACAACATAGACACAACGTAGACACAACATAGACACAACATAGACACAGTAGACACTACGTAGACACAGTAGACACAACATAGACACAACGTAGACACAACATAGACACAACATAGACACAGTAGACACAACGTAGACACAGTAGACACAACATAGACACAGCAGACACAACATAGACACAGTAGACACAACATAGACACAGTAGACACAACATAGACACAACATAGACACAGTAGACACAACATAGACACAGTAGACACAACATAGACACAGTAGACACAACATAGACACAACATAGACACAGTAGACACAACATAGACACAGTAGACACAACATAGACACAGTAGACACAACATAGACACAGTAGACACAGTAGACACAACATAGACACAGTAGACACAACATAGACACAGTAGACACAACATAGGCACAGTAGACACAACATAGACACAACATAGACACAGTAGACACAACATAGACACAGTAGACACAACATAGACACAGTAGACACAACATAGACACAGTAGACACAACATAGACACAGTAGACACAACATAGACACAGTAGACACAGTAGACACAACATAGAAACAGTAGACACACAGTATACACGGCAGAGACAGTAGACACAGTAGACACAGTAGAGACACAGTAGACACACAGTAGACACAGTAGACACACAGGACACACAGTATACACGGTAGAGACACAGTAGAGACACAGTAGAGACACAGTATACACGGTAGAGACACAGTAGAGACACAGTAGAGACACAGTATACACAGTAGACACAACATAGACACACAGTAGAGACACGGTAGAGACACAGTAGAGACACAGTAGACACACAGTAGACACAGTAGACACACAGTATACACGGTAGAGACAGTAGACACACAGGAGACACGGTAGAGACACAGTAGAGACACACAGGAGACACACAACGTAGACACAACATAGACACAGTAGAGACACAGTAGACACGGTAGAGACACAGTAGAGACACAGTATACACGGTAGACACACAGTAGACACAACAACATAGACACAGTAGAGACACAGTATACACAACGTAGACACACAGTAGACACACAGTAGAGACACAGTAGAGATACAGTAGAGACACAGTAGACACACAGTAGACACAGTAGACACAACATACACACAGTAGACACACAGTAGAGACACAGTAGACACACAGGAGACACAACAACAGACAGTAGAGACACGGTAGAAACAGGAGACACACAGTATACACAGTATACACGGTAGACACAGTAGACACAACATAGACACAGTATACACGGTAGAAACACAGTAGAGACACAGTAGAGACACAGTAGAGACACTATACACGGTAGAGACACAGTAGAGACACAGTAGAGACACAGTAGAGACACAGTATACACGGTAGAGACACAGTAGAGACACAGTATACACGGTAGACACACAGTAGACACACAGTAGAGACACAGTAGACACAGTAGAGACACAGTAGAGACACAGTAGAGACACAGTATACACGGTAGAGACACAGTAGAGACACAGTAGACACAGTAGACACACAGTAGAGACAACAACATAGACAGTAGACACACAGTAGAGACACAGTAGACACACAGTATACACACAGTAGACACAGTATACACACAGTAGACACACAGTATACACACAGTAGACACAGTAGACACACAGTAGAGACACAGTAGACACACAGTAGAGACACAGTATACACGGTAGAGACACAGTAGACACACAGTAGAGACACAGTATACACGGTAGAGACACAGTAGACACACAGTAGAGACACAGTATACACGGTAGAGACACAGTAGACACAGTAGAGACACAGTATACACGGTAGAGACATGGTAGAGACACAGTAGAGACACAGTATACACAGTAGAGACACAGTAGACACAGTATACACGGTAGAGACACAGGAGACACGGTAGAGACAGTAGAGACACAGGAGACACAGTAGACACAGTAGACACAGTAGAGACACAGGAGACACACAGTAGAGACACGGTAGACACAGTAGACACAGTAGAGACAACATAGACACACAACGTAGACACACAGTAGACACACGGTAGAGACAGTAGAGACACAGGAGACACGGTAGAGACACAGGAGACACACAGTAGACACAGTAGAGACACAGTAGAGACACAGTAGAGACGGTAGAGACACAGTAGAGACACAGTAGAGACACAGTATACACGGTAGAGACACAGTAGAGACAACATACACACAGTAGACACAGTAGACACACAGTAGAGACACAGTAGAGACAGTAGACACACAGTATACACGGTAGAGACAGTAGAGACACAGTAGACACAGTAGACACACAGTAGAGACACGGTAGAGACAGTAGAGACACAGGAGACACACAGTAGACACACAGTAGACACAGTAGAGACAACAGAGACAGTAGAGACAGTAGAGACGGTAGAGACGGGTGGCGTTGTTTTATTGCCATTCACACGACGAAGACGACCAACAGCCGGCAGGAGCAGGAAGCTCGCATCACACGCAAGCGGGGGTCGGACACGCGTGTGGACAAAGGTGTGGTGGGACACGCGTGTGGACAAGGGGGGAGTGGTGGGACACGCGTGTGGACAAGGGTGTGGTGGGACACGCGTGTGGACAAGGGGGGAGGGGTGGGACACGCGTGTGGACAAGGGGGGAGGGGTGGGACACGCGTGTGGACGGAGTGGGGGAGGCCGGCTTCAGCCGTACATCTTGAACGTGCGGTCGGCTGAGCCGCTCTCAATGGCGGCGACGGTCTTCTTCTGTTACACACACAGACACACAGACACACACACAGACACACACACAGACACACACACACACAAACACACACACAGACACACACACAGACACACAGAGACACGTCAACATGGGGACGATGGGAACCACCTTGATCATGAGTGAGTGACTGAGTGACTGAGTGTGTGACTGAGTGACTGAGTGAGTGAGTGTATGAGTGAATGAGTCTATGAGTGAGTGTATGAGTGAGTGTATGAGTGAGTGACTGAGTGAGTGACTGAGTGATTGAGTGAGTGAGTGACTGAGTGGGTGAGTGAGTGACTAAGTGACTGAGTGAGTGAATGAGTGACTGAATGAGTGACTGAGTGAGTGACTGAGTGAGTGTATGAGTGAGTGTATGAGTGAGTGTATGAGTGAGTGTATGAGTGAGTGAGTGTGTGAGTGAGTGTATGAGTGAGTGAGTGTATGAGTGAGTGTATGAGTGACTGAGTGAGTGACTGAGTGAATGAGTGACTGACTGAGTGACTGAGTGACTGACTGACTGAGTGAATGAGTGACTGACTGAGTGACTGAGTGACTGACTGACTGAGTGAGTGACTGACTGAGTGACTGAGTGAGTGACTGACTGAGTGACTGACTGAGTGACTGACTGAGTGACTGACTGACTGAGTGAGTGACTGACTCAGTGAGTGACTGAGTGACTGAGTGAGTGACTGAGTGAGTGACTCACCCTGTCCCTGTAGAAGAACACAGTCAGACCCACGATAGGCACCACACTCATCAGCAGCCCCAGGAGCGACGTCTTTGCGGTGGGGCGGAAGTTTGGGTAGACGTTGTGAGTCCGCGCGTACTGCCAGCGCACCATGGCCGGGTCATCCTACACACGGCACAGGCAGAAGGTGGTGGTAGTGGTGGTGGTAGTGGTGGTAGGGGTGGTGGTAGTGGTGGTGGTAGTGGTGGTGGTGGTAGTGGTGGTGGTAGTGGTGGTGGTGGTAGTGGTGGTGGTAGTGGTGGTGGTGGTAGTGGTGGTGGTGGTAGTGGTGGTGGTGGTAGTGGTGGTGGTAGTAGTGGTGGTGGTAGTGGTTGTGGTAGTAGTGGTGGTGGTAGTGGTGGTGGTAGTGGTGGTGGTAGTGGTGGTAGTGATGGTGGTAGTGGTGGTAGTGGTGGTGGTAGTAGTGGTGGTGGTAGTGGCGGTAGTGGTAGTAGTGGGGGTAGTGGTGGTAGTAGAGGTGGTGGTAGTGGTGGTAGTGATGGTGGTGGTAGTGGTGGTCGTGGTAGTAGTGGTAATGGTGGTGGTAGTGGTGGTAGTGGTGGTGGTAGTGGTGGTAGTGGTGGTGGTAGTGGTGGCAGTGGTGTTGTGGTGGTGGTAGTGGTGGTGGTAGTGGTGGTGGTTGTGGTGGTAGTAGTAGTGGTGGTAGTGGTGGTGGTGGTGGTAGAGGTGGTGGTAGTGGTGGTAGTGATGGTGGTGGCGGTAGTGGTGGTAGTGGTGGTGGTGGTAGTGGTGGTAGTGGTGGTAGTAGAGGTGGTGGTAGAGGTGGTGGTAGTGATGGTGGTGGTAGTGGTGGTGGTAGTGGTGGCAGTGGTAGTGGTGGTGGTAGTGGTGGTGGTAGTGGTGGTAGTAGTGGTAGCGGTGGTAGTGGTGGTAGTGGTGGTAGTGGTGGTGGTAGTGGTGATGGGAGTGGTGGTGGTAGTGGTGGTGGTAGTGGTGGTGGTGGTGGTAGTGGTGGTGGTAGTGGTGGTAGTGGTGTTTTGGTGGTGGTAGTGGTGGTGGTAGTGGTGGTGGTTGTGGTGGTAGTAGTAGTGGTGGTAGTGGTGGTGGTAGAGGTGGTGGTAGTGGTGGTAGTGATGGTGGTGGCGGTAGTGGTGGTAGTGGTGGTGGTGGTAGTGGTGGTAGTGGTGGTAGTAGAGGTGGTGGTAGAGGTGGTGGTAGTGATGGTGGTGGTAGTGGTGGTGGTAGTGTTGGCAGTGGTAGTGGTGGAGGTAGTGGTGGTGGTAGTGGTGGTAGTAGTGGTAGCGGTGGTAGTGGTGGTAGTGGTGGTGGTAGTGGTGATGGGAGTGGTGGTGGTAGTGGTGGTGGTAGTGGTGGTGGTGGTGGTAGTGGTGGTAGTGGTGGTGGTAGTGGTGGTGGTAGTGGTGGTAGTGGTGGTAGTGGTGGTGGTAGTGGTGGTGGTAGTGGTGGTAGTGATGGTGGTAGTGGTGGTAGTGGTGGTGGTAGTAGTGGTGGTGGTAGTGGTGGTAGTGGTAGTAGTGGTGGTAGTGGTGGTAGTAGAGGTGGTGGTAGTGGTGGTAGTGATGGTGGTGGTAGTGGTGGTCGTGGTAGTGGTGGTAGTGGTGGTGGTAGTGGTGGTAGTGGTGGTGGTAGTGGTAGTGGTGGTAGTGGTGGTGGTGAGGAGAGGGTCAAGTCCAGAGCGGGAAGTCGAGAGGGCACTGGTGGAGGCCGGGCAGGGAAATCGCTTAGTCAGTCAGTCAGTCGCTCAGTCAGTCACTCAGTCAGTCGCTCAGTCAGTCATTCACTCACTCCAACACTCACTAATACACTCAGTCACTCATACACTCAGTCACTCATACACCCACTCACTCACTCACTCATACACTCAGTCACTTATACACTCAGTCACTATGACCGGCAAAACAACCGCCTAGCTCCTCGTGGTGCCAGACGGGCAACTCTGTCGTGGACAGTGCTGTGGGGGGAGGGCCAATTCCGATTGGCTCCTCCCCTCGTGGCGTCTGTGACCACCACAGGGGCTTAATGGGGGCTCTGGACGGGTGCAAGGGGCTGGTAACACCTCCACCTTCAATAAATAACCGCTAAACCACGACAGAAAAATTGGATTAATAAGCTTGTGCCGGAGGCCCCGGGGGGACAGGGGTCTATGACGTCTCCTGGCCAAACCCCATTTGGCGGAGCCAGGAGACTGAATCCTTAACCTCAGGGCTCCTCCAGGAACAACAAAAACCACTACAGGTGGCCACGTGGAATGTTCGAACGCTCACTGCGGAGGAGAGGCTGCCACTCCTCTGTCGGAGCTGGACCGGTACGGCCTGGATCTCTGTGGTATTCAGGAGGTCTGGTGGACCGGCTCTGGCTCCTGCCACCATGAGGGGTGGACAGTCCTCTACTCGGGGCAGGAGACTGCCAAACAACAGGGAGTGGCTCTTCTTCTGAGCAAAAGAATGAAGGGGGCGTGGGAGCGTGGCGGTGAGGTGTGGGAAGCTGTAAGTCCATGGCTACTTTGGGCTCGCCTTCCCATCAACCAGAGGCGAGGAATGGTGGTCGTGGTTACTTATGTCCCCACTGAAGACGAACATCCGTGGAGGGATTCAGGCAAGGCCGATGAGTCAGATGCCTTTTATGACCTCCTGTCACACGTGCTGGCTAAAGTGGCCCCTCGGGATAGAGTCATCTTGTTGGGTGACTTCAATGCACCAGATTGGTCATGATGCTGGCACCTGGTCTGGAGTGATTGGAAGGCATGGGCCAGATCAGCTCAATAACAACGGTAGGAGGCTGCTAGATTTTTGTGCAGCCCATGGGCTTGTAATTACCAACACACTGTTCCGGCATCAGCGCATCCACACATCATGGATACATGCCGGGTCCAAGCAAGAACATCTGCTGGACTACATAGTGACGGACCAGCGGATGCTAGCCCATGTCCTTGATACCAGGACCTACCGTGGAGCTGATCTGCCCTCTGACCGTCGACTAGTCATCTGTAAGATGCGCCTGCCATTCTTCCACTCCGGTGGTGGGTGTACACCCAGGACCCCATTCAAATCCTTAGTGGCATGGTCTCAGCTAGCTGATGAAAGTTGCAAGCGAGAATTTCAACGTCGCTTGCGGCTGTAGTTGGCATCGTCCCCCCACTCCTCCTGATGTCGAGGGTAAATGGGGAGGTTTAGGACTGTGACTCATGCAGCTGCAATGGCTGCCTTGGGTACACGCTCCAGACCTCCCCAGAGACCCTGGCTGACAGAGGAGGTATTCAGGCTGGCTGAGAAAAAGCGACAGGCCCACTGTCATCGGCTACAGAATCCCACGTCAGAGAATGAGGAGGCTTACCGCAGCCTTCGCTGGGAGATTTGGAGAACCGTGAGGCGCTGCAAGGATGGGTGGTGGTCATGGGTTGCTGAGGAGATGGAGTCTGCCTCAGTGGCCCGCGATCACAAATCTCTATTCAACTCCATCAAAAAAGTAACCTGCAGCACCACACCTATTACTATCATTAGGGGAAAAAACGGTGATCCAATCTCCGACCCCCAGGAACAGGTTTGCAGATTTGCTGAGCATTTCTGTGAGATCCAGGAGGAGGGGAAATCCCTCAGCCTGGATAACATGGGACAAAGTGGGGATGACCCTGCTGAGGCTGCGGTGCCTCAAATGTTGGAAGAAGTCACCCCCTGTGAGTGGCTGGCTGAGGTGCCATCTGTTGAGGAAGTACTGAAGGCGATCCAGAGTCTGAGACCAGAAAAGGCACCGGGCAGAGATGATCTCCCAAGCGAAATGCTGAGGGAGGGTGGCGTTTGTGCACAGACTGCCCTATATGACATCATAACAACAATCTGGACCACTGGACGGGTTCCGCAGGATTGGAAGGATGCCCTGGTGGTCCCCCTCTTTAAGAAGGGGGACCGCACAGACTGTAACAACTACAGGGGCATCTCACTCCTTAGTGTGCCGGGAAAGGTCCTGGCAAGGATTATTCAACATCGCCTTGCCAGGCACGCTGAGGAGAGGCTTGCGGAGCCCCAATGCGGTTTCAGGAAAGAGCGGTCCTGCACAGATGCCATATTTTCTGTCCGTCTGCTACAGCAGAGGTGTAGGGAATTCCAACAAGACCTACATCTCTGCTTTATTGACCTGGTTAAGGCCTATGATACCATCAGTAAACCTGGGCTCTGGGTTGTTCTTCGTGCTTTTGGAGTACCTGACCCTCTGCTCACGATCATTAAGGACCTTCATGATGGTGAGCGGGCCCGGGTAAAACTACGTGGCCGGGAGTCAGAGCCATTCCCTGTACACCTTGGGGTGCGACAGGGATGTCCTCTGGCTCCCACATTATTTAACATCTATTTTGACCACGTAGTTCGTGAAGCTTTCAATAGGAATACCGAAGGAATTTCCATCTGGTACAGATACAATGGGAGGCTGATCGATGCCCGGGTGCAGTCAAGGTGAGTGACTGAGTGACTGACTGAGCTACTGACCGAGTTACTGAGTGCCTGACTGAGTTACTAAGTGAGTGACTAAGTGGGTGACTGACTGACTAACTACGTGACTGACAAAGTGGCTGAGTGAGTGACTGACTAAGTGACTGACTAATTAAGTGACTGACTGAGTGACTAAGTGACTGAGTGACTGACTGAGTGATTAACTGACTGACTAAGTGACTAACAGAGTGACTGACTGATTGACTAAGTGACTGACTGAGTGACTGAGTGACAAAGATACTCACGATGAGGCCCACTCTGTGTGGGTCGTTGAGCTGTCCCAGGTAGCTCCTCTTGCTGCTGAGTGACTGACTGAGTGACTGACTGACTAAGTGACTAACTAAGTGACTGAGTGACGGACTAGGTGACTAACTGACTAACTAAGACACTCACGATGAGGCCCACTCTGAGGGGGTCGTTGAGCTGTCCCAGGTAGCTCCTCTTGCTCCTCGCTCAGTCACTCAGTCACTCAGTGACTGAGTGACTGAGTGACTGACTGAGTGACTAGGTGACTAACTGAGTGACTAAGTGACTGACTGAGTGACTAAGCGAGTGACTGACTGAGTGACTGACTAAGTGACTAACTAAGTGACTACGTGACTGACTGACTAACTAAGTGACTAAGTGACTGACTAAGTGACTAACTAAGTGACTAAGTGACTGACTAGGTGACTAAGTGACTAAGACACTCACGATGAGGCCCACTCTGTGAGGGTCGTTGAGCTGTCCCAGGTAGCTCCTCTTGCTCCTGAGTGACTGACTGAGTGACTAAGTGACTAACTGAGTGACTGACTAACAAAGTGACTAACTAAGTGACTAACTAAATGAGTGACTAACTAAGTGACGAAGACACTCACGATGAGGCCCGCTCTGTGTGGGTCGTTGAGCTGTCCCAGGTAGCTCCTCTTGCTGCTGAGTGACTAAATAAGTGACTGACTGAGTGACTAAGTGACTGACTGAGTGACTAACTAAGTGACTGAGTGACTGACTGAGTGACTAACTAAGTGACTAAGACACTCACGATGAGGCCCACTCTGTCTGGGTCGTTGAGCAGTCCCAGGTAGCTCCTCTTGCTCCTGAGTGACTGAGTGACTGACTGAGTGACTGACTAACTGAGTGACTGACTGAGTGACTAAGTGAGTGACTAAGTGACTAAGACACTCACGATGAGGCCCACTCTGTGTGGGTCGTTGAGCTGTCCCAGGTAGCTCCTCTTGCTCCTGAGTGACTGAGTGACTGACTGAGTGACTGACTGAGTGACTGACTGAGTGACTAAGTGAGTGACTAGGTGACTAAGACACTCACGATGAGGCCCACTCTGTGTGGGTCGTTGAGCTGTCACAGGTAGCTCCTCTTGCTCCTGAGTGACTGACTGAGTGACTGACTGAGTGACTAACTGAGTGACTGACTAACTGACTGACTGACTGAGTGACTAACTGAGTGACTGACTGAGTGACTGACTGAGTGACTGACTAAGTGACTAAGTGAATGACTAACTAGGTGACTAAGACACTCACGATGAGGCCCACTCTGTGAGGGTCGTTGAGCTGTCCCAGGTAGCTCCTCTTGCTCCTGAGTGACTGACTGAGTGACTGAGTGACTAACTAAGTGACTGACTGAGTGACTAACAGAGTGACTAACTAAGTGACTAAGTGACTAAGACACTCACGATGAGGCCCACTCTGTGAGGGTCGTTGAGCTGTCCCAGGTAGCTCCTCTTGCTCCTGAGTGACTAACTAAGTGAATAAGTGACTGACTGAGTGACTAACTAAGTGACTAACTGAGTGACTAAGTGACTAACTAAGTGACTAACTAGGTGACTAAGACACTCACGATGAGGCCCACTCTGTGTGGGTTGTTGAGCTGTCCCAGGTAGCTCCTCTTGCTCCTGAGTGACTGACTGACTAAGTGACTAACTGAGTGACTGACTAACTAAGTGACAAAGTGACTAACTAAGTGACTAACTAAGTGAGTGACTAACTAAGTGACGAAGACACTCACGATGAGGCCCGCTCTGTGTGGGTCGTTGAGCTGTCCCAGGTAGCTCCTCTTGCTGCTGAGTGACTGACTGAGTGACTGACTGAGTGACTGACTGAGTGACTAAGTGACTGACTGAGTGACTAACTAGGTGACTAAGTGACTAAGACACTCACGATGAGGCCCACTCTGTGAGGGTCGTTGAGCAGTCCCAGGTAGCTCCTCTTGCTCCTGAGTGACTGACTGAGTGACTGACTAAGTGACTAACTGAGTGACTGACTGACAAGTGACTGAGTGAGTGACTACGTGACTAAGACACTCACGATGAGGCCCACTCTGTGAGGGTCGTTGAGCTGTACCAGGTAGCTCCTCTTGCTCCTGAGTGACTAAGTGACTGACTGAGTGACTAGATGACTGAGTGACTAAGTGACTAACTAAGTGACTAAGTGACTAACTAAGTGACTAAGACACTCACGATGAGGCCCACTCTGTGTGGGTCGTTGAGCTGTCCCAGGTAGGTCCTCTTGCTCCTGAGTGACTGACTGAGTGACTGACTGACTGAGTGACTGACTGAGTGACTGAGTGACTGACTAACTAAGTGACTAAGTGACTGAGTGACTAAGTGACTAAGACACTCACGATGAGGCCCACTCTGTGTGGGTCGTTGAGCTGTCCCAGGTAGCTCCTCTTGCTCCTGAGTGACTAAGTGACTGAGTGACTGACTAACTAAGTGACTAACTGAGTGACTAACTAAGTGACTAAGACACTCACGATGAGGCCCACTCTGTGTGGGTCGTTGAGCTGTCCCAGGTAGCTCCTCTTGCTCCTGAGTGACTAACTAAGTGAATAAGTGACTGACTGAGTGACTAACTAAGTGACTAACTGAGTGACTAAGTGACTGACTGAGTGACTGACTGAGTGACTGACTGACTAACTAAGTGACTGGGTGACTAACTAGGTGACTAGGTGACTAAGACACTCACGATGAGGCCCACTCTGTGAGGGTCGCTGAGCTGTCCCAGGTAGCTCCTCTTGCTCCTGAGTGACTGAGTGACTGACTAAGTGACTAACTGAGTGACTGACTGAGTGACTAACTAAGTGACTAACTGAGTGACTGACTAAGTGACTGAGTGAGTGACTAGGTGACTAAGACACTCACGATGAGGCCCACTCTGTGTGGGTCGTTGAGCTGTCCCAGGTAGCTCCTCTTGCTCCTGAGTGACTGACTGAGTGACTGACTGAGTGACTGACTGAGTGACTGACTAACCAAGTGACTAAGTGACTAAGACACTCACGATGAGGCCCACTCTGTGTGGGTCGTTGAGCTGTCCCAGGTAGCTCCTCTTGCTCCTGAGTGACTGAGTGACTGACTAAGTGACTAACTGAGTGACTGACTGAGTGACTGAGTGACTGACTGACTAAGTGACTGAGTGACTAAGTGACTAACTAAGTGACTAACTAGGTGACTAAGACACTCACGATGAGGCCCACTCTGTGTGGGTCGTTGAGCTGTCCCAGGTAGCTCCTCTTGCTCCTGAGTGACTGACTGAGTGACTGACTGACTGAGTGACTGACTAAGTGACTAACTAAGTGACTAAGACACTCACGATGAGCCCCACTCTGTGAGGGTCGTTGAGCTGTCCCAGGTAGCTCCTCTTGCTCCTCGCCCTCAGCGCCTCCCTCACCGCCGCCGCCTCGGCTCCCCCCTCGGCCGACGAGGCGCGGAACGCCGCCGGCAGCGAGAACAGCCCCGGCACGTCGCGATAGTCGTGGGGACGTCGAGGAGGAGGTGGAGGAGGTGGACGATGATGATGAGGTGGTGGTGGAGCTGTGGGGGATGAAGGTGACCCCACGTCGGCCGCCATTGCGATAACTCCCTCAGCCGGTGACGGTTGGTGATGCGATTCGATTCGGCTAGGATCGCGTGTGGTGTTGGATAGTGGCGATTAAGAGGGAATCGATTCCTTGTTGGCGGGTGCGTTGTGACGTGACCCGCGTCGGCCGCCATTGCGATAACTCCCTCAGCCGTTGACGGTTGGTGATGCGATTCGATTCGACTTGGATCGCTTGTGGTGTTGGAGTGTGGCGATTAAGAGGGAATCGATTCCTTGTTGGCGGGTGCGTTGTGACGTGACCCGCGTCGGCCGCCATTGCGATAACTCCCTCAGCCGGTGACGGTTGGTGATGCGATGCGATTCGACTTGGATCGCGTGTGGTGTTGGGGTGTGGCGATTAAGAGGGAATCGATTCCTTGTTGGCGGGTGCGTTGTGATGGTGAGAGGGCTGAGGGGGGTAGGGGGGGAGGTCGATTCGATTGCGGGGGAATCGAATCTTGCGGTGCTGTTGTGATGGTGAGCGGGGAGTCGATTTGTGAAGCCGTTAAGGGGGAATCGATTCTATCAAAGCCATCACCCCCCCCCCAAAATCACCCCCCCCATCACCCCCCCCATCACCCCCCCCCCCCCCCCCACCCCCCCACCACCCCCCCCCCCCCCCCACCCCCCCACCACCCCCCCACCACCCCCCCCCCCCACCCCCCCCCCACCACCCCCCCACCCCCCCCCATCACCCCCCCCCCCCACCCCCCCCCACCACCCCCCCACCACCCCACCACCACCCCCCCCACCACCCCCCCACCCCCCCCCCCCACCACCCCCCACCACCCCCCCCCCACCACCCCCCACCCCCACCACCACCCCCACCCCCCCACCCACACACCACCCCCCCCCACCCACCCCCCCACCACCACCCCCCCCACCACCCCCCCATCACCCCCCCCACCACCCCCCCACCACCCCCCCCCACCACCCCCCCACCACCCCCCCCCACCACCCCCCCACCACCCCCCCATCACCCCCCCACCACCCCCCCCATCACCCTCCCATCACCCCCCCTTCGTCGCCATGGAGACGCGGCGTCACGTGGTGCTGGAGGAGTAACAATGGCGGCGTCTTCAGCAGCAGCCTCAGCCTCAGCTGAGGAGGAGGAGGAGGCGAGCGGGGCTGGTGAGGGGAGACGCTCGCGATCCATTGACATCCTCCACCACCACCACCACCTCATCATCATCATCACCACCGTTGTTGTTGTTGTGTTTGTTGTTGTTGGTGGTGGTGGCTGTGTTTGTTTGTTTGTTGTTGGTGGTGGTGGCGGTGGCCAAATCGGCTTCGTAACCCTTGGAGACGAGTAGACGTCATCGCGTCACCGAACCAACACGCACCGGCGTGATGACGTCATCGCGTCACCGAACCAACACGCACCGGCGTGATGACGTCATCGCGTCACCGAACGCTCCACACACCCGCTTGATGACGTCATTGCGTTATCGAATCCATCCCGCCGTGAAGATGTCTTCGCGTCTCTAAACCACCGCGCACCGACGTGATGACGTCATCTCGTCACCGAACTCCCACACACCGACGTGATGACGTCATCGCGTCACCGGACCCATCCATACACACACCGACATGATGACGCCATCCCGTCACCCAACACCCATAATGTGTGTACGTATGACGTGTGTATGACGTGGGTATGATGTGTACGTATGACGTGTGTATAATGTGTGTACGTATGACGTGTGTATGATGTGTGTACGTAGTATGATGTGTGTATGACGTGTGTATAATGTGTGTACGTATGACGTGTGTATGATGTGTGTACGTATGACGTGTGTATGATGTGTGTATGATGTGTGTACGTAGTATGACGTGTGTATGACGTGTCTATGACATGTGTATGACGTGCGTATGACGTGTGTATGACGTGTGCATGATGTGTGTACATAGTATGATGTGTGTACGTATGACGTGCGCATGACGTGTGTATGATGTGTGTACGTATCACGTGTGTATGACGTGTGTATGACGTGTGTGTATGACATGTGTGTACGTATGACGTGCGCATGACGTGTGTGCGTATGCCGTGTGTATGACGTGTGTATGACGCGTCTATGACGTGTGCAAGATGTGTGTGTATGACGTGTGTATGACGTGTGTATGACGTGTGTACGTACGGTGAGTGAGTCGTGTGTGTACGTAAGATGTGTGTGTTGTGTATCATGTATCACATCATACACAACAGGTGAGTGATGTATCACATCATACACAGCAGGTGAGTGATGTATAACATCATACACAACAGGTGAGTGTGTGTGTACGTAGCGCTGCGTACACACACACTCACCTGTTGTGATGATGTGATACATCACTCACGTGATGTGTATGATGTAATACATCATTCACAACAGGCGAGTGAGTGTATGTGTGTACATGTGTGTGTACAGGTGAGTGTGTATATGTGTACGTGTGTATGTGTGGGTGTACATGTGAGTGTGTGTGCGTGTGCGTGTGTACAGGTGAGTGAGTGTGTGTGTGTATGTGTACAGGTGAGTGAGTGTATGTGTGTACATGTGTGTGTACAGGTGAGTGTGTATATGTGTACGTGTACATGTGTGGGTGTACATGTGAGTGTGTGTGCGTGTGCGTGTGTACAGGTGAGTGAGTGTATGTGTGTACATGTGTGTGTACAGGTGAGTGTGTATATGTGTACGTGTGTATGTGTGTGTGTGTACATGTGAGTGTGTGTACAGGTGTGTGTGTACGTGTGTGTGTGTGTGTATGTGTACGGGCAACTCTGTCGTGGACAGTGCTGTGGGGGGAGGGCCAATACCGATTGGTTCTTCCCCTCATAGCGTCTGTGACCACCACAGGGGCTAAACGGGGGCTCTGGGCGGGTGCGAGGGGCTGGTAACCCCTCCACCTTCTAAAAATTACCACGAAACTACGACTTAAACTTAAATATGTAACAAATAAGCTTGTGCCGGAGGCCCCGGGGGGACAGGCGTCTATGACGTCTCCTGGCCAAACCCCAATTGGCGGAGCCAGGAGATTGAATCTCAAAACTCGGGGCTCCTCCAGAAACAACGAAAAACCACTACGGGTGGCCACGTGGAATGTTCGAATGCTCACTGCGGAGGAGAGGCTACCACTCCTCTGTCGGGAGCTGGACCGGTACCGCCTGGATCTCTGTGGCATTCAGGAGGTCGGGTGGACCGGTTCTGGCTCCTGCCACCATGAGGGGTGGACAGTTCTCTACTCGGGGCAGGAGACTGCCAAACAACAGGGTGTGGCTCTTCTTTTGAACAAAAGAATGAAGGGGGCGTGGGAGCGTGTTGGTGAGGTGTGGGAAGCTGTAAGCCCCAGGCTACTTTGGAATTGCCTTCCCATCAATCGGAGGCGAGGATTGGTGGTCGTGGTTACTTATGCCCCCACCGAAGACGAACATCCGTGGAGGGATGCAGGCAAAGCCGATGAGTCAGATGCCTTCTATGACCTCCTGTCACAGGTGCTGGCTAAAGTGGCCCCTCGGGATAGAGTCATCTTGTTGGGTGACTTCAATGCCCGAGTTGGTCATGATGCTGGCACCTGGCCTGGAGTGATTGGAGGGCATGGACCGGATCAGCTTAATAACAACGGTAGGAGGCTGCTAGATTTTTGTGCAGCCCATGGACTTGTAATTACCAACACGCTGTTCCGGCATCGGCGCATTCACACAACATCATGGATGCATGCCGGGTCCAAGCAAGAACATCTGCTGGACTACATAGTGATGGACCAGCGGATGCGAGCCCATGTCCTTGACACCAGGACCTACCGTGGAGCTGATCTGCCCTCTGACCATCGACTTGTCATCTGTAAGATGTGCCTGCCATTCTTCCACTCCAGCGGTGGGTGTACACCCAGGACCCCATTCCAACCAAAAGTGGCCTGGTCTCGGTTATCTGATGAAAGTTGCAAGTGAGAATTTCATCATCGCCTGTGGCTGGGGTTGGCATCGTCCCCCACTCCTCCTGATGTTGAAGGTAAATGGGCGAGGTTTAGAACTGTGACTCATGCGGCTGCAATGTCTGCTTTGGGTACGCGGTCAGGACCTCCCCAGAGACCCTGGCTGACAGAGGAGGTGTTCAGGATGGTTGAGAAAAAGCGACAGGCCCACTGTCATCGGCTACAGCATCCCACGTCAGAGAATGAGGAGGCTTACCGCAACCTTCGCTCGGAGGTTCGGACAGTCGTGAGGCGCTGCAAGGATGGGTGGTGGTCGTGGGTTGCTGAGGAGATGGAGTCTGCCTCAGTGGGCTGCGATCACAAATCTCTATTTAACTCCATCAAAAAAGTAACCTGCAGCGCCACACCTATTACCATCATTAGGGGAAAAAACGGTGATCCAATCTCCGACCCCCAGGAAACAGGTTTGCAGATTTGCTGAGCATTTCTGTGAGGTCTTGGGGGAGGGGAAACCCCTCAGCCAGGAAAACATCGTGGCACAAAGTGAGGATGACCCTGCTGAGGCTGCGGTGCCTCAAATATTGGAAGAAGTCACCCCCTGTGAGTGGCTGGCTGAAGTGCCATCTGTTGAAGAAGTACTGAGGGCGATCCGGAGTCTGAGACCATGAAAGGCAGCGGGCAGAGATGATCTCCCAAGCGAAATGCTGAGGGAGGGTGGAGTTTGTGCACAGACTGCCCTATATGACATCATAACAACAGTCTGGACCACTGGATGGGTTCCGCAGGATTGGAAGGATGCCCTGGTGGTCCCCCTCTTTAAGAAGGGGGACCGCACAGACTGTAACAACTCCAGGGGCATCTCACTTCTCAGTGTGCCGGGAAAGGTCCTGGCAAGGATTATTCAACATCGCCTTGCCAGGCAAGCTGAAGAGAGGCTTGTGGAGCCCCAATGCGGTTTCAGGAAAGGGCGGTCCTGCACAGATGCCATATTTTCTGTCCGTCTGCTACAGCAGAGGTGTAGGGAATTCCAACAAGACCTACATCTCTGTTTCATTGACCTGTTCAAGGCCTATGATACCATCAGTAGGCTCAAAATCATTAAGGACCTTCATGATGGTGAGCGGGCCCGGGTAAAACTACGTGACCGGGAGTCAGAGCCATTCCCTGTACACCTTGGGGTGCGACAGAGATGTCCTCTGGCTCCCACATTTTTTAACATCTATTTTGACCACGTAGTTCGTGAAGCCTTCAGTAGCTGTACCAGGGGAACCTCCATGTGGTACAGATATAATGGGAGGCTGATCGATGCGCGGGTGCGGTCAAGGGATGGCTCCCAATTGCTCAACCACGTTATGTATGCTGATGATTTGGTAATAGCTGCACATTCAGAGGAGGAGTTGGAGCCGCTGCTGCTGAGACTGGAGCGTGCCACTAAGAGGTGGGGCCTTACCATCAGCCCCACCAAAACTAAGCACCTGCCTGGGTATTTTGTACCATCGGACACTACACCCCCACAATTCCCAATCGGTGATGGGGCAGTTGTGGAGAGAGTGGAGAGTTTCCCATACCTGGGCAGTGTGCTTATGACTGGCTCCAGTTTAACAGCAGAGGTCTCACTCCGAATCAGTCGAGCGGCAATATATTTTCATCGGTTGCGTAACGCTGTGTGGAAGCTACCTGGTCTGTCGCTCCGCACTAAGCTTCAGGTCTTCTCGGCCACGGTCATTCCGTCCCTTCTCTCCGCTTGCGAAACGTGGACCCCCCTAATGGAACATCTTTGCCGGTTAGAAACATTTAGGCTGGCCTGCCTACGATCCATCTTGGGTTTAACCAGACTGGATTGTGTGAGGAGCTCACAAATCCTTGAAAGATCTGGGCAAGGTCCCATCGGTGAACGCCTCCGGCAGGCAAGGCTGCGATGGCTGGGTCATGTAGCCCGCATGCCCAGCCACCGCATGCTGAAACAGCTTTTGTTCGGCCGGATTGAGGGGGCTAAGCGGGCGCGGCATGGGCTAGAGAAGAGATGGAGTAATGTGGTACAGGAGGACGTGGAGCTCAGTGGACTTGCCGATGACTGGTACCAGCGGTGTCAAGATCGGCCTCTGTGGAGGAGGCTCGTGAAGGACGCTACTGGGCAGTTGGAGGCAGTCGCCCTCCAACAACAACGGAGGGCGGAGGAGCGATGCTCACAACAACGAGCGGAGCGCCGGGTGGCTAAAGCACAGCAGGTTGGCACAGTAGGGGGCACAGGTGGTGCATCAGCCAGTCATCTCAGTCATCTCAGTCAGTCGACCCGTGGCACCTACTGGGTCTGCCCCATGACCTCCTGCCAGCGGGCGTTCGACACTTCACGTGGCCTCAGGGTGCACATAGCCTGGCACAAGCGTCGTGGTGACGTCACCGCCACTTAGTGGCGAATGGCGGTTGTTGTTGTTGGTGGTGTGTGTATGTGTGTGTGTGTGTATGTGTGTGTAGGTGGTGTGTGTGTGTATGTGTATGACTGTGTGTGTGACTGTGTGACTGTGTGTGTAGGTGGTGTGTGTGTGTGTGTACGTGAGTATGACTGTATGTGTGTATGTGTGTATGTGTGACTGTGTGTGTATGTGTGTGTAGGTGGTGTGTGTGACTGTGTGTGTATGTGTGTGTGTAGGTGTGTGACTGTGTGTGACTGTGTATGTGTGTGTAGGTGGTGTGTGTGTGTACGTGTTTGGGAACGGCCGGGTGTCCACCCCTCCGCGCTTTTGGCTGAGGACACACAGCGTGGAGCTGGTCGCTTGCGGTGAAGAGCACGCCGGATTACTGACTGGTACATACACACACGTCATACACACGTCATATACACGTCATTCACACACACACGTCATACACACACACATACACACACACGTCATACACACAGCGTGGAGCTGGTCGCTTGCGGTGAAGAGCACGCTGGATTACTGACTGGTACATACACACACGTCATACACACGTCATACACACGTCATACAGACACACGTCATACACACAGCGTGGAGCTGGTCACTTGCGGTGAAGAGCACGCTGGATTACTGACTGGTACATACACACACGTCATACACACGTCATTCACACACACGTCATACACACACATACACACACACGTCATACACACAGCGTGGAGCTGGTCGCTTGCGGTGAAGAGCACGCTGGATTACTGACTGGTACATACACACACGTCATACACACGTCATTCACACACACGTCATACACACACACGTCATACACACGTCATACACACACACGTCATACACACGTCATACACACGTCTCTCTGTGTCTCAACATGTCTCTGCGTGTCTCTGTGTGTGTCTGTCTGTCTCTGTGTGTGTCTCTGTGTCTCTGTGTCTCTCTGTGTCTCTGTGTGTCTCTGTGTCTCTCTGTGTCTCTCTGTGTCTCTCTGCCTGTCTCTCTCTGTGTCTCCGTGTGTCTCTCTGTGTCTCTGTGTGTGTCTCTGTGTCTCCGTGTCTCTCTCTGTGTCTCTGTGTGTCTCTCTGTGTCTCTGTGTGTCCCTCTGTGTCTCTGTGTCTCTCTGTGTCTCTGTATCTCTGTGTGTCTCTCTCTGTGTGTCTCTGTGTCTCAGCATGTCTCCGTGTGTCTCTCTGTGTCTCTGTGTGTGTCTCTGTGTCTCCGTGTGTCTCTCTCTGTGTCTCCGTGTGTCTCTGTGTGTCTCTCTGTGTCTCTCTGTGTTTCTCTGTTTCTCTGCGTCTCTGAGTGTCTCTGTGTCTCTCTGTGTCTCTGTGTCTCTGTGTATGTCTCTGTGTGTCTCTGTGTGTCTCTCTGCCTGTCTCTCTCTGTGTCTCAGCATGTCTCTGTATCTCTGTGTGTTTCTGTGTCTCTGTGTGTCTCTGTGTGTCTCTCTGCCTGTCTCTCTCTGTGTCTCAGCATGTCTCTGTGTCTCTGTGTCTCTGTTTGTTTCTGTGTCTCTGTGTGTCTCTGTGTGTCTCTCTGCCTGTCTCTCTCTGTGTCTCAGCATGTCTCTGTGTCTCTGTGTGTTTCTGTGTATCTGTGTGTCTCTCTGTGTCTCAGCATGTCTCTGTGTCTCTGTGTGTCTCTCTGCCTGTCTCTGTGTGTGTGTCTCCGTGTGTCTGTGTCTCAGCATGTCTCTGTGTCTCTGTGTATCTCTGTGTGTCTCTCTGCCTGTCTCTCTGTGTCTCTGTGTGTGTCTCTCTGTCTCTCTGTGTGTCTCTGTGTCTCTCTGTGTCTCAGCATGTCTCTGTGTGTCTCTCTGTGTCTCTGTGTGTCTCTGTGTGTCTGTGGGTGTCTCTCTGCGTCTCAGCATGTCTCTGTGTCTCTGTGTGTGTCTCTGTGTCTCCGCGTGTCTCTCTATGTCTCTGTGTCTCTCTGTGTGTCTCTCTCTGTGTCTCTCTGTGTCTCAGCATGTCTCCGTGTGTCTCTCTGTGTCTCTGTGTGTGTCTCTGTGTCTCTCCGAGTGTCTCTGTGTGTCTCTGTGTCTCTGTGTGTCTCTCTGTGTCTCTGTGTGTCTCTGTGTCTCCGTGTGTCTCTCTCTGTGTCTCTGTGTCTCTGTGTGTCTCTCTCTGTGTCTCTCTGTGTCTCAGCATGTCTCTCTCTGTCTCTGTGTGTCTCTGTGTCTCCGTGTGTCTCTCTCTGTGTCTCTGTGTGTCTCTGTGTCTCTGTGTGTCTCTCTCTGTGTCTCTCTCTGTCTCTGTGTGTCTCTGTGTCTCTGTGTGTCTCTGTGTCTACGTGTGTCTCTCTCTGTGTCTCTCTGTGTCTCAGCATGTCTCCGTGTGTCTCTCTGTGTCTCTGTGTGTGTCTCTGTGTCTCTGTGTATGTCTCTGTGTCTCTCTGTGTGTCTCTCTCTGTGTCTCCGTGCAGACACCGGGAAGCTCTACATGTTCGGAAGCCATGAGTGGGGACAGCTTGGCCTGGGGACACGGAGACACGGGGACACGGAGACACCGAGACTCGGGGTGTCCAGGCCCACGTGGGTGCGAGGTATGGACACACGGGCAGAGACACGGAGACACAGAGAGAGAGAGAGACGGGGAGAGACACACAGAGAGACTCAGAGAGACACAGAGAGAGACACAGAGAGAGAGACAGAGAGAGACACAGAGAGACTCAGAGAGAGACACAGAGAGAGACACAGAGAGACTCAGAGAGAGACACAGAGAAAGACACAGAGAGACAGAGAGAGAGAGAGACATCGAGACACAGAGCCACACACAGAGACACACAGAAAGAGACAGAGAGAGACACAGAGACACACAGAGAGACACACACAGAGAGACACAGAGAGACACACACAGAGAGACAGAGAGAGACACACAGAGAGACACAGAGACACACACAGAGAGGCACAGAGAGACACACACAGAGAGAGACACAGAGAGAGACACACAGAGAGACACAGAGACACACACAGAGACACACACAGAGAGACACAGCTCACCACCTCGCTCACCAGTGTGTGTGTCTGTGTGTGTGTCTGTGTGTGTCTATGTTTGTGTGTGTCTCTGCGTGTGTGTCTGTGTGTGTCTCTGTGTGTGTCTCTGTGTCTCTGTGTGTGTCTGTGTGTCTATGTGTGTGTGTGTGTCTGTGTGTGTCTCTGTGTCTCTGTGTGTGTCTGTGTGTGTGTCTATGTTTGTGTGTGTCTCTGTGTGTCTCTGTGTCTCTGTGTGTGTCTGTGTGTGTGTCTATGTTTGTGTGTGTCTGTGTGTGTCTCTGTGTCTCTGTGTGTGTCTGTGTGTGTGTCTATGTTTGTGTGTGTCTGTGTGTCTCTGTGTCTCTGTGTGTGTCTATGTTTGCGTGTGTGTCTGTGTGTCTCTGTGTCTCCGTGTGTGTCTGTGTGTGTGTCTATGTTTGTGTGTGTGTTTCTCTGTGTGTCTGTCTGTATGTTTGTCTATGTATGTGTGTGTCTGTGTGTGTCTCTGTGTCGCTGTGTGTCTCTGTGTGTGTGTCTATGTTTGTGTTTGTGTCTCTGTGTGTCTCTGTGTCTCTGTGTGTGTCTGTGTGTGTGTCTATGTTTGCGTGTGTGTCTGTGTGTGTCTCTGTGTCTCCGTGTGTGTCTGTGTGTGTGTCTATGTTTGCGTGTGTGTCTGTGTGTGTCTCTGTGTCTCCGTGTGTGTCTGTGTGTGTGTCTATATTTGTGTGTGTGTTTCTCTGTGTGTCTGTCTGTATGTTTGTCTATGTATGTGTGTGTGTGTCCTTGTGTCAGTTTAACACGTAGGCTTTCGCGACCAATATTATTCATAATAAAGGTTTTTGGGTTAGATCACGTTTATTTATAAATGTGTCGTAACCCTCCACCACCCGACACGGCCAATCAGCAAAAAAAGTGTCACGTTGACAAAAGACAAATCATTCACTACTTCAGCCCACCGGTGTGTTGAAGAGTTAATCCACATTTAACTCTTCAACACACCGGTGCGCTAAAGTAGTGTATTATTTGTCTTTTGTCAACGTGACACTTTTTTTGCTGATTGGCTGTGTCGGGTGGTGGAGGGTTACGACACATTTATAAATAAATGCGATCTAACCCAAAAACCTTTATTATGAGTGTCCTTGTGTGTCTGTGTGTATATGTGTGTGTCTACTCGCTAACAGCACTTGCCCCTGCAGCCTGATAGAGGCTACACGGGGGAGCTTTGACTGTGTGTCTCTGTGTTTGTCTCTGTGTGTGTGTGTCTGTGTGTGTGTGTGTCTGTGTGTGTGTGTTTGATTCTATGTATCTGTGTGTCTCTTTGTGCGTGTGTCTCTGTGTGTGTTTGCTGCTATTCGCTACTATTAACAGCACTTGCCCCAACAGTCTGCTGAGGCTACACGGGGGATCTTTGTCTTTGTGGTCAGGAGTGCGACATCACAGACTCACTCAGCTTGCCTGCGGAGACAAACACAGCCTGGTCGCGTCTGGTGAGTAGCACACAGACACACACACAGACACACACACAGACACATACACACAGACACACACACAGACACACACACAGACACACACACAGACACACAGACCAGACACACACACAGACACACAGACACACACACACATACACACACACAGACACACAGACACACACACAGACACACTGACACACACACACATACACACACACAGACACACACACACAGACACACACACACAGACACACACATGTAGTAGTGAGTGTAGTAGTGAGTGTAGTGGTGAGTGTGGTGGTGAGTGTAGTGGTGAGTGTAGTGGTGAGTGTAGTGGTGAGTGTGGTGGTGAGTGTAGTGGTGAGTGTAGTGGTGAGTGTAGTGGTGCGTGTGGTAGTGAGTGTGGAGGTGAGTGTAGTGGTGAGTGTAGTGGTGAGTCTATGACGCATGTGGTGAGTGTGGTGGTGAGTGTAGTAGTGGTGAGTGTAGTGGTGAGTGTAGTAGTGGTGAGTGTGGGGAGTCTAGTGGTGAGTGTAGTGGTGAGTCTAGTGGTGAGTGTGGTGGTGAGTGTGGTGGTGAGTGTAGTGGTGAGTGTAGTAGTGAGTGTAGTGGTGAGTGTAGTAGTGAGTGTAGTAGTGAGTCTAGTAGTGAGTCTAGTGGTGAGTCTAGTAGTGAGTGTAGTAGTGAGTGTAGTGGTGAGTGTAGTGGTGAGTGTAGTGGTGAGTGTAGTAGTGAGTGTAGTAATGAGTATAGTGGTGAGTGTAGTGGTGAGTGTAGTTGTGAGTGTAGTAGTGAGTGTAGTGGTGAGTGTAATAGTGAGTGTAGTAGTGAGTCTAGTAGTGAGTCTAGTGGTGAGTCTAGTAGTGAGTGTAGTAGTGAGTGTGGTGGTGAGTGTAGTGGTGAGTGTAGTAGTGAGTGTAGTGGTGAGTGTAGTGGTGAGTGTAGTGGTGCGTGTGGTAGTGAGTGTGGTGGTGAGTGTAGTGGTGAGTGTAGTGGTGAGTTTATGACGCATGTGGTGAGTGTGGTGGTGAGTGTAGTAGTGGTGAGTGTAGTGGTGAGTGTAGTAGTGGTGAGTGTGGTGAGTCTAGTGGTGAGTGTAGTGGTGAGTCTAGTGGTGAGTGTGGTGGTGAGTGTGGTGGTGAGTGTAGTGGTGAGTGTAGTAGTGAGTGTAGTGGTGAGTGTAGTAGTGAGTGTAGTAGTGAGTGTAGTGGTGAGTGTAGTGGTGAGTGTAGTGGTGAGTGTAGTTGTGAGTGTAATAGTGAGTGTAGTGTTGAGTGTCGTGGTGAATGTAGTGGTGAGTGTAGTGGTGAGTCTATGACGCATGTGGTGAGTGTGGTGGTGAGTGTAGTAGTGAGTGTAGCAGTGGTGAGTGTGGTGGTGAGTGTAGTGGTGAGTGTAGTAGTGGTGAGTGTAGTAGTGAGTGTAGTAGTGGTGAGTGTAGTGGTGAGTGTAGTGGTGAGTGTGGTGGTGAGTGTAGTGGTGAGTGTAGTAGTGGTGAGTGTAGTGGTGAGTGTAGTGGTGAGTGTAGTGGTGAGTGTAGTGGTGGTGAGTGTAGTGGTGAGTGTAGTGGTGAGTGTAGTGGTGAGTGTAGTAGTGATGAGTGTAGTGGTGAGTGTAGTAGTGAGTGTAGTGGTGAGTGTAGTTGTGAGTCTATGACGCGTGTGGTGAGTCTGCTCCAGACCGCGGTGTGGTCCTGGTGAGCGGCAGTAATGGTGAGCGTCAGCTTGGTCTCGGCTCGCTGACGCTCACCAGGACCAGCGTCTTCCTGCCTGTCCCAAACCTCCTCACCACTCCGCTCACCATCAGCGCCGTCAGCGCCGGCAATGGAACCTCGGCTATCCTCAGCGGTGAGGAGGGCACTTCACCAGCTCGCTCACCAGCGCACTCACCAGCTCACTCACCAGCTCACCAGCTCGCTCACCAGCTCACTCACCAGCTCACCAGCTCGCTCACCAGCTCACTCACCAGCTCACTCACCAACTCGCTCGACAAGTCACCACTTCGCTCACCAGCTCACTCACCAGCTCATTCATCAGCTCACCAGCTCGCTCACCAGCTCACTCACCAGCTCACTCACCAGCTCACCAGCTCGCTCACCAGCTCGCTCACCAGCTCACTCACCGGCTCACTCACTCACCAGCTCACTCACCAGCTCACTCACTCACCACCTCGCTCACCAGCTCACTCACTCACCAGCTCGCTCACCACCTCGCTCACCAGCTCGCTCACCAGCTCACTCACCAGCTTACCACCTCGCTCACCACCTCGCTCACCAGCTCACCACCTCGCTCACCAGCTCACTCACCAGCTCACTCACCAGCTCACTCACCACCTCGCTCGACAAGTCACCACCTCGCTCACCAGCTCACTCACCAGCTCACTCACTCACCAGCTCGCTCACCAGCTCACTCACTCACCACTTCGCTCACCAGCTCACCAGCTCACTCACCAGCTCACCACCTCGCTCACCAGCTCACTCACCAGCTCACTCACTCACCATCTCGCTCACCAGCTCGCTCGCTCACCAGCTCGCTCACCAGCTCACTCACCAGCTCACTCACCAGCTCACCACCTCGCTCACCACCTCGCTCACCAGCTCACTCACCAACTCACCAACTCACCACCTCACTCACGAACTCACTCACCCCTCTGCTCACCATCAGCGCCGTCAGCGCCGGCAACGGAACCTCGGCTATCCGGTGAGGAGGGCACCTCCCTCCCTCACCAGCTCGCTCACCAGCGCACTCACCAGCTCACCAGCTCGCTCACCAGCTCACTCACTCACCAGCTCGCTCACCAGCTCTCTCATCAGCGCACTCACCAGCTCACCAGCTCGCTCACCAGCTCTCTCACTCACCAGCTCACTCACCAGCTCACTCACCAGCTCGCTCACCAGCTCAGTCACCACCTCGCTCGACAAGTCACCACCTCGCTCACCAGCTCACTCACCACCTCTGTCACCAGCTCACCAGCTCACTCACCAGCTCAGTCACTCACCACCTCGCTCACCAACTCACTCACTACCTCGCTCACCAACTCACTCACCAGCTCACTCACCACCTCACTCACCAGCTTGCTCACCAGCTCACTCACTCACCACCTCGCTCACCAGCTCACTCACCAGCTCAGTCACTCACCACCTCGCTCACCAGCTCGCTCACCACCTCGCTCACCAGCTCACTCACCACCTCACTCACCAGCTCACTCACCACCTCGCTCACCAGCTCGCTCACCACCTCACTCACCAACTCACTCATCACCTCGCTCACCAACTCACTCACCACCTCGCTCACCAACTCACTCACCAGCTCACTCACCAGCTCACCAGCTCACTCACCAGCTCACTCACCACCTCACTCACCAGCTCGCTCACCACCTCGCTCACCAGCTCACTCACCAGCTCGCTCACCAGCTCGCTCACCACCTCACTCACTCACCACCTCGCTCACCAGCTCACTCACCACCTCGCTCACCAACTCACCAGCTCGCTCACCAGCTCACCAGCTCACTCACCAGCTCACTCACCACCTCGCTCACCAGCTCACTCACCAGCTCACTCACCAGCTCACTGACTCACCACCTCGCTCGCCAGCTCACTCACCAGCTCACTGACTCACCACCTCACTCACCACCTCGCTCACCAGCTCACTCACCACCTCGCTCACCAGCTCACTCACCAGCTCGCTCACCACCTCGCTCGCCAGCTCACCAGCTCGCTCATCAACTCAGTCACCACCCCGCTCACCAGCTCACCAGCTCACCCACCAGCTCACCAGCTCGCTCACCACCTCGCTCACCACCTCGCTCACCACCTCGCTTACCAACTCACTCACCAGCTCACTCACCATCTCGCTCACCAGCTCACTCACCAGCTCACTGACTCACTCACTCACCAACTCACTCACCACCTCGCTCGCCAGCTCACTCACCAACTCACTCACCAGCTCACTGACTCACTCACTCACCAACTCACTCACCACCTCGCTCGCCAGCTCACTCACCAACTCACTCACCAGCTCAGTGACTCACTCACTCACCAACTCACTCACCACCTCGCTCACCAGCTCACCACCTCGCTCACCAACTCACTCACCACCTCGCTCACCAGCTCACTGACTCACTCACTCACCAGCTCACTCACCACCTCGCTCACCAGCTCACCACCTCGCTCACCAATTCACTCACCACCTCACTCACCAGCTCACTCACCAGCTCACTCACCACCTCACTCACCAGCTCACTGACTCACTCACTCACCAACTCACTCACCACCTCGCTCACCAGCTCACCACCTCACTCACCAATTCACTCACCACCTCACTCACCAGCTCACTCACCAGCTCACTCACCACCTCACTCACCAGCTCACTCACCAGCTCACTCACCATCTCGCTCACCAGCTCACCACCTCACTCACCAATTCACTCACCACCTCACTCACCAGCTCACTCACCAGCTCACTCACCACCTCACTCACCAGCTCACTCACCAGCTCACTCACCACCTCGCTCACCAGCTCACCACCTCGCTCACCAACTCACCACCTCGCTCACCAGCTCACTCACCAGCTCACTCACCACCTCGTTCACCAGCTCACTCACCACCTCGCTCACCACCTCGCTCGCCAGCTCACTCACCAGCTCACCAGCTCGCTCACCAGCTCAGTCACCATGTATCTGAGTGTGTATATATGAGTGTGTGTGTATATATGAGTGTGTGTATATATGTATATGAGTGTGTGTATATATGAGTGTGTGTGTGTATATATCTATATGTGTGTATATATGTATATATGTGTGTGTATATATGTATATGAGTGTGTGTATATATGAGTGTGTGTTATATGTATATGAGTGTGTGTATATATGAGTGTGTGTGTATATGTATATGTGTGTGTGTATATGAGTGTGTGTGTATTTGTATATGAGTGTGTGTATACATGAGTGTGTGTGTATATGTATATGAGTGTGTGTATATGTATATGAGTGTGTGTATATATGAGTGTGTATATATGGATATGAGTGTGTGTATATATATGAGTGTGTGTATATATGAGTGTGTGTGTATGTATATGTGTGTGTATATATGTGTGTGTATATGTATATGAGTAGCGTGTGTATATATGAGTGTGTATATGTATATGAGTGTGTGTATATATGAGTAGTGTGTATATGTATATGAGCGTGTGTATATATAAGTGTGTGTATAAGTGTGCACAGACTGCCCTATATGACATCATAACAACGGTTTGGACCACTGGACGGGTTCCGCAGGATTGGAAAGATGCGCTGGTGGTCCCCCTTTTTAAGAAGGGGGACCGCACAGACTGTAACAACTACAGGGGCATCTCACTCCTCAGTGTGCCGGGAAAGGTCCTGGCAAGGATTATTCAGCATCGCCTTGCCAGGCACGCTGAGGAGAGGCTTGCAGAGCCCCAATGCGGTTTCAGGAAAGGGCGGGCCTGCACAGATGCCATATTGTCCGGGGAAATCTCCATATGGTACAGATATAATGGGAGGCTAATCGATGCCCGGGTGCGGTCAAGGGATGGCTCCCTATTGCTCAACCACGTTATGTATGCTGATGAATTGGTAATAGCTGCTCAGTCAGAGGAGGAGTTGGAGACGCTACTGCTGAGACTGGAGCGTGCCACTAAGAGGTGGGGCCTTACCATCAGCCCCACCAAAACTAAGCACCTGCCTGGGTATTTTGTACCATCGGACACTCCACCCCCACAACTACCAATCGGTGATGGGGCAGTTGTGGAACGAGTGGAGAGTTTCCCATACCTGGGCAGTGTGCTTATGACTGGCTCCAGTTTAACAGCAGAGGTCTCACTCCGAATCAGTCGAGCGGCAATATCTTTTCATCGGTTGCGTAACGCTGTGTGGAAGCTACCTGGTCTGTCGCTCCGCACTAAGCTTCAGGTCTTCTCGGCCACGGTCATTCCCTCCCTTCTCTACGCTTGTGAAACGTGGACCCCCCTAATGGAACATCTTCGCCGGTTAGACACATTTAGGCTGGCCTGCCTATGATCCATCTTGGGTTCAACCAGACTGGATTGCGTGAGGAGCTCACAAATCCTTGAAAGATCTGGGCAAGGTCCTATCGGTGAGCTCCTACAGCAGGGAAGGCTGCGATGGCTGGGTCATGTAGCCCGCATGCCCAGCCACCGCATGCCGAAACAGCTTTTGTTCGGCCGGATTGAGGGGGCTAAGCGGGCGCGGCACGGGCTAGAGAAGAGATGGAGTGATGTAGTACGGGAGGACGTGGAGCTGGGTGGACTTGTCGATGACTGGTACCAGCGGTGTCAAGATCGGCCTCTGTGGAGGAGGCTCGTGAAGGATGCTACTGGGCAGTTGGAGGCAGTCGCCCTCCAACAACAACGGAGGGCGGAAGAGCGACGCTCACAACAACGAGCGGAGCGCCGGGTGGCTGAAGCACAGCAGGTTGGCACAGTAGGGGGCACAGGTGGTGCATTAGCCAGTGATATCAGTCAGTCGACCCGTGGCACCTGGGTCTGCCCCGTGACCTCCTGCCAGCGGGCGTTCGAGACTTCACGTGGCCTCACGGTGCACATAGCCTGGCACAAGCGTCGTGGTGACGTCACCGCCACTTAGTGGCGAATGGCGGTTGTTGTTGTTGTGTAGTATATATGTGTGTGTATGAGTGTATATGTGTGTGAGTGTGTGTGTGTAGTATATGTGTGTGTATAAGTAGTATATGTGTATGTGTGTGAGTATATATAAATAGTATATATAGAATATAATATATGTATATATATGTGAGTGTATATATATACAATATATATATGTGTATAGGTGATGGAGTGGTGTTGGTTTGGGGCACCAATGGCTGTGGCCAGCTGGGTCTGGTGTGTGAGTGTGTGTACATATATGTGTGAGTGTCTGTGTATATAGTATATGTATATGTGTAGTATATGGGTGTATATATACTATATATAAGAGTGTATATATACTATATATGTGTAGGTGATGGAGCGGTGTTGGTTTGGGGCATCAATGGCTGTGGCCAGCTGGGTCTGGTGTGTGAGTGTCTGTGTATATAGTATATATATGTGTGTAGTATATGTGTGTGTGTATAAGTAGTATATGTGTATGTGTGTATATATAAGTAGTATATATTGTATATACTATATGTATGTATATATATGTGTGTGTAGGTGATGGAGCGGTGTTGGTTTGGGGCACCAATGGCTGTGGCCAGCTGGGTCTGGTGTGTGAGTGTCTGTGTATAGTATAAGAGTGTATATATGTGTGTATGAGTGTATATATATATACTATATATGTATATATACTGTATTTATATGAGTGTGTGTGTAGGTGATGGAGCGGTGTTGGTTTGGGGCACCAATGGCTGTGGCCAGCTGGGTCTGGTGTGTGAGTGTATAGTATATGAGTAGTATATATGTGTGTATGAGTGTATATATAATATATATATGTGTGTGTATAGGTGATGGAGCGGTGTTGGTTTGGGGCACCAATGGCTGTGGCCAGCTGGGTCTGGTGTGTGAGTGTCTGTGTATAGTATAAGAGTGTATATATGTGTGTATGAGTGTATATATATACTATATATGTATATATACTGTATTTATATGAGTGTGTGTGTAGGTGATGGAGCGGTGTTGGTTTGGGGCACCAATGGCTGTGGCCAGCTGGGTCTGGTGTGTGAGTGTATAGTATATGAGTAGTATATATATGTGTGTATGAGTGTATATATAATATATATATGTGTGTGTATAGGTGATGGAGCGGTGTTGGTTTGGGGCACCAATGGCTGTGGCCAGCTGGGTCTGGTGTGTGAGTGTGTGTATAGTATAAGAGTGTATATATGTGTGTATGAGTGAATATATAGTATATATGTATATATACTATATGTATGTATATGTGTGTATAGGTGATGGAGCGGTGTTGGTTTGGGGCACCAATGGCTGTGGCCAGCTGGGTCTGGGCTCTGCCCCCCACGCCGCCTCGCCCACCGCCCCGGCCCTGGGGGGCCTCGTCAGAGCCCTGTCCTGTGGGCACAGACACAGCGCCTTCGTTAGCGGTGAGTTACACACTAACTAGTACACTAACTAGTACACTAACTAGTGATAATTACTACATTAACTAGTACTAACTAGTACACTAACTAGTACTAACTAGTACACTAACTAGTACTAACTAGTACACTAACTAGTGATAATTACTACACTAACTAGTACTAACTAGTACACTAACTAGTACTAACTACTACACTAACTAGTACTGTCCTGTGGGCACAGACACAGCGCCTTCGTTAGCGGTGAGTTACACACTAACTAGTACACTAACTAGTGATAATTACTACACTAACTAGTACTAACTAGTACACTAACTAGTACACTAACTAGTACTAACTAGTACACTAACTAGTACACTAACTAGTACACTAACTAGTACTAACTAGTACACTAACTAGTACACTGACTAGTGATAATTACTACACTAACTAGTACTAACTAGTACACTAACTAGTACTAACTAGTACACTAACTAGTACTAACTAGTACACTAACTAGTACTAACTAGTACACTAGTACACTAACTAGTACTAACTAGTACACTAACTAGTACTAACTAACTAGTACACTAACTAGTACTAACTAGTACACTAGTACACTAACTAGTACTAACTAGTACACTAACTAGTACACTAACTAGTACTAACTAGTACACTAACTAGTACTAACTAGTACTGTCCTGTGGACACAGACACAGCGCCTTCGTTAGCGGTGAGTTACACACTAACTAGTACACTAACTACTAACTAGTACTAACTAGTACTAACTAGTACACTAACTAGTACACTAACTAGTACTAACTAGTACACTAACTAGTACACTAACTAGTACACTAACTAGTACTAACTAGTACACTAACTAGTACTGTCCTGTGGGCACAGACACAGCGCCTTCGTTAGCGGTGAGTTACACACTAACTAGTACACTAACTAGTACTAACTAGTACACTAACTAATATTAACTAGTACACTAACTAGTACTAACTAGTACACTAACTAGTACACTAACTAGCCCTGTCCTGTGGGCACAGACACAGCACCTTCGTTAGCGGTGAGTTACACGCTAACTACTACACTAACTAGTACTAATTACTACACTAACTAGTATTGACTAGTACACTAACTAGTACTAACTAGTACTGTCCTCTGGGCACAGACACAGCGCCTTCGTTAGCGGTGAGTTACACGCTAAGTAGTACACTAACTAGTGATAACTAGTACTAACTACTACACTAACTAGTACTAACTACTACACTAACTAGTACTAACTACTACACTAACTAGTACTGTCCTGTGGGCACACACACAGCGCCTTCGTTAGCGGTGAGTTACACCGTTAATTACTACACTAACTAGTACTAACTAGTACACTAACTACTACACTAACTAGTACACTAACTAGTACTAACTAGTACACTAACTAGTACTAACTAGTACTAACTACTACACTAACTAGTACTAACTAGTACTGTCCTGTGGGCACAGACACAGCGGCTTCGTTAGCGGTGAGTTACACGCTAACTAGTACACTAACTACTAACTAGTACTAACTACTACACTAACTAGTACACTAACTAGTACTAACTAGTACACTAACTAGTACTAACTAGTACTAACTAGTACACTTACTAGTACACTAACTAGTACTAACTAGTACACTAACTAGTACTAACTAGTACACTAACTACTACACTAACTAGTACACTAACTAGTACTGTCCTGTGGGCACAGACACAGCGCCTCCGTTAGCGTTGAGTTACACGCTAACTAGTACAATAACTAGTACTAACTACTACACTAACCAGTACTAACTAGTACACTAACTAGTGATAACTACTACACTAACTAGTACTACCTAGTACTAACTAGTACACTAGCTAATGATAACTAGTACTAACTAGTACACTAACTAGTGATAACTACTACACTAGTACACTAACTAGTACTCACTACTACACTAGTACACTAACTAGTACTAACTACGACACTAACTAGTACACTAACTAGTACACTAACTACTACACTATCACACTAACTAGTAATCTAACTAGTACACTAACTACTACACTAACTAGTACACCTACTAGTACACTAACTACTACACTAACTTGTGCACTAACTACTACAGTATCACACTAACTAGTACACTAACGACTACAGTATCACACTAACTATTACACTAACTACTACACTAGTACACTAACTACTACACTAACTACTACACTAACTACTACACTAACTACTACACTAGTACACTATCTAGTACTAACTACTACACTAACTACTACACTAACTACTACACTATCACACTAACCACTACACTAACTAGTACACTAACTACTACACTAACTAGTACTAACTAGTACACTAACTAGTGATAACTACTACACTAAGCAGTGCTAATTAGTACTAACTAGTGCACTAACTAGTGATAACTAGTACTAACTAGTACACTAACTAGTTATAACTACTGCACTAACTACTACACTATCACACTAACTACTACAGAAACTACTACACTAACTACTACACTATCACACTAACTAGTAGACTCACTAATACACTAGTACTAACTACTACACTAGTACACTAACTAGTACACGAACTACTACACTAGTACACTAACTAGTACACTAACTAGTACACTATCCACTACACTAACTAATACACTAATTACTAAACTATCACACTACCTAGTACACTTACTACTACACTAACTACTACACTATCACACTAACTACTACAGAAACTACTACACTAACTACTACACTAGTACACTATCTAGTACTAACTACTACACTAACTACTACACTATCACACTAACTACGACACTAACTAGTACACTCACTACTAGGCAGCTGTTATTGTTGCTATGGTGATGAGTGGCGTTTCCATGGTGACGGTGTCGCTGGGTTCCCCACTGTTGCTATGGTGATGATGACGAGTGGAGTTTCCATGGTGACGGTGTCGCTGCGTTTCCATGACGACAGAGGACGGGGCTGTGTGGACCTGCGGAGATCCGGAGGGTGGTCGCCTTGGACGCAGCTGTGACGAACAAGGTGAATGTGTGTGTGTGAGTGTATGTCTGTGTGTGTGTGTGTGTCACTGTGTGGCAGTTTAATTCGTAGTTTCGTGGTAATTAATTGAAGGTGGAGGGGTTACCAGCCCCTCGCACCCGTCCAGAGCCCCCGTTTAGCCCCTGTGGTGGACACATATGCCATGAAGGGAGGAGCCAATCAAAATTGGATCTCCCCCCACAGCGCTGTCCACGACAGAGTTGCCCGTCCGGCACCGCGAGGAGGTAGGGGGTTGTTTTGCCGGACAGACTGCCAAACAACAGGGTGTAGGTCTTCTTTTGAACAAGGGAATGAAGGGGGCGTGGGAGCGTGGCGGTGAGGTGTGGGAAGCTGTAAGCCCCAGGCTACTTTGGGCTCGCCTTCCCATCAACCGGAGGCGAGGAATGGTGGTCGTGGTTACTTATGCCCCCACCGAAGATGAACATCCGTGGAGGGATGCAGGCAAAGCCGATGAGTCAGATGCCTTCTATGACCTCCTGTCACAGGTGCTGGCTAAAGTGGCCCCTCGGGATAGAGTCATCATGTTGGGTGACTTCAATGCCCGAGTTGGTCATGATACTGGCACCTGGTCTGGAGTGATTGGAGGGCATGGGCCAGATCAGCTCAATAACAACGGTAGGAGGCTGCTAGATTTTTGTGCAGCCCATGGGCTTGTAATTACCAACACGCTGTTCCGGCATCGGCGCATCCACACAACATCATGGATGCATGCCGGGTCCAAGCAAGAACATCTGCTGGACTACATAGTGACGGACCAGCGAATGCGAGCCCATGTCCTTGACACCAGGACCTACCGTGGAGCTGATCTGCCCTCTGACCATCGACTAGTCATCTGTAAGATGCGCCTGCCATTCTTCCACTCCGGTGGTGGGTGTACACCCAGGACCCCATTCCAACCTAAAGTGGCCTGGTCTCAGTTATCTGATGAAAGTTGCAAGCGAGAATTTCATCATCGCTTGCGGCTGGGATTGGCATCGTCCCCGACTCCTCCTGATGTCGAGGGTAAATGGGCGAGGTTTAGGACTGTGACTCATGCAGCTGCAATGGCTGCTTTGGGTATGCGGTCCAGACCTCCCCAGACACCCTGGATGACAGAGGAGTTGTTCAGGATGGTTGAGAAAAAGCGACAGGCCCACTGTCATCGGCTACAGAATCCCACGTCAGAGAATGAGGAGGCTTACCGCAGCCTTCGCTCGGAGGTTCGGAGAGCCGTGAGGCGCTGCAAGGATGGGTGGTGGTCGCGGGTTGCTGAGGAGATGGAGTCTGCCTCAGTGGCCCGTGATCACAAATCTCTATTTAACTCCATCAAAAAAGTAACCTGCAGCGCCACACCTATTACCATCATTAGGGGAAAAAACAGTGATCCAATTTCCGACCCCCAGGAACAGGTTCGCAGATTTGCTGAGCATTTCTGTGAGGTCCTGGGGGAGGGAAAATCCCTCAGCCAGGAAAACATCGTGGCACAAAGTGAGGATGACCCTGCTGAGGCTGCGGTGCCTCAAATATTGGATGAAGTCACCCCCTGTGAGTGGCTGGCTGAGGTGCCAGCTGCTGATGAAGTATTGAAGGCGATCCGGAGTCTGAGACCAGGAAAGGCAGCGGGCAGAGATGATCTCCCAAGCGAAATGCTGAGGGAGGGTGGCGTTTGTGCACAGACTGCCCTATATGACATCATAACAACAGTCTGGACCACTGGACGGGTTCCGCAGGATTGGAAGGATGCCCTGGTGGTCCCCCTTTTTAAGAAGGGGGACCGCACAGACTGTAACAACTACAGGGGCATCTCACTCCTCAGTGTGCCGGGAAAGGTCCTGGCAAGGATTATTCAGCATCGCCTTGCCAGGCACGCTGAGGAGAGGCTTGCGGAGCCCCAATGCGGTTTCAGGGAAGGGCGGTCCTGCACAGATGCCATATTTTCTGTCCGTCTGCTACAGCAGAGGTGTAGGGAATTCCAACAAGACCTACATCTCTGCTTTATTGACCTGGTCAAGGCCTATGATACCATCAGTAGGCCTGGGCTCTGGGTCGTTCTTCGTGCTTTTGGAGTACCTGACCCTCTGCTCACGATCATTAAGGACCTTCATGATGGTGAGCGGGCCCGGGTAAAACTACGTGGCCGGGAGTCAGAGCCATTCCCTGTACACCTTGGGGTGCGACAGGGATGTCCTCTGGCTCCCACATTATTTAACATCTATTTTGACCACGTAGTTCGTGAAGCCTTCAATAGCTGTACCGGGGGAATCTCCATATGGTACAGATATAATGGGAGGCTAATCGATGCCCGGGTGCGGTCAAGGGATGGCTCCCTATTGCTCAACCACGTTATGTATGCTGATGACTTGGTAATAGCTGCTCAGTCAGAGGAGGAGTTGGAGACGCTGCTGCTGAGACTGGAGCGTGCCACTAAGAGGTGGGGCCTTACCATCAGCCCCACCAAAACTAAGCACCTGCCTGGGTATTTTGTACCATCGGACACTCCACCCCCACAACTCCCAATCGGTGATGGGGCAGTTGTGGAGAGAGTGGAGAGTTTCCCATACCTGGGCAGTGTGCTTATGACTGGCTCCAGTTTAACAGCAGAGGTCTCACTCCGAATCAGTCGAGCGGCAATATCTTTTCATCGGTTGCGTAACGCTGTGTGGAAGCTACCTGGTCTGTCGCTCCGCACTAAGCTTCAGGTCTTCTCGGCCACGGTCATTCCCTCCCTTCTCTACGCTTGCGAAACGTGGACCCCCCTAATGGAACATCTTCGCCGGTTAGAAACATTTAGGCTGGCCTGCCTACGATCCATCCTGGGTTTAACCAGACTGGATTGTGTGAGGAGCTCACAAATCCTTGAAAGATCTGGGCAGGGTCCCATCGGTGAGCTCCTCCGGCAGGCAAGGCTGCGATGGCTGGGTCATGTAGCCCGCATGCCCAGCCACCGCATGCCGAAACAGCTTTTGTTTGGCCGGATTGAGGGGGCTAAGCGGGCGCGGCACGGGCTAGAGAAGAGATGGAGTGATGTGGTACAGGAGGACGTGGAGCTGAGTGGACTTGCCGATGACTGGTACCAGCGGTGTCAAGATCGGCCTCTGTGGAGGAGGCTCGTGAAGGATGCTACTGGGCAGTTGGAGGCAGTCGCCCTCCAACAACAACGGAGGGCGGAGGAGCGACGCTCACAACAGCGAGCGGAGCGCCGGGTGGCTAAAGCACAGCAGGTTGGCACAGTAGGGGGCACAGGTGGTGCATCAGCCAGTCATCTCAGTCAGTCGACCCGTGGCACCTGGGTCTGCCCCGTGACCTCCTGCCAGCGGGCGTTCGACACTTCACGTGGCCTCAGGGTGCACACAGCCTGGCACAAGCGTCGTGGTGACGTCACCGCCACTTAGTGGCGAATGGCGGTTGTTGTTGTTGTTGTCACTGTGTGTGTCACTGTGTGTGTGAGTGTGTGTCACTGTGTGTGTCTGTGTGTGTGTCTGTGTGTGTGACACTGTGTGTGTGTCACTGTGTGTGTCACTGTGTGTGTGTGTCACTGTGTGTGTGTCACTGTGTGTGTGTCACTGTGTGTGTTTCTGTCTGTCTGTGTGTGCGAGTGTGTGTGTCTATGTGTGTGCGTGTGTCACTGTGTGTGTGTGAGTGTGTGTCTGTGTGTGTGTGTGTGGTGTGTGTGTCTGTCTGTGTGTATGTGTCACTGTGTGTGTGTCACTGTGTGTGTGTGTAGCGGTTAGCGCACTGCGCTATGAACCTGGCGACCCGGATTCGATTCCCGCTCACGGCCAACACCAGTGACGATTATCTGAACCGGTCCCGAGCCTCCCCTAGGTCGACTCAGCCTCAAATGAGTACCTGGTGCGGTGTGTAAACATTGCCACTAGGGAGACAAAGGTGGTCGGGCGTGGTGCTGGCCACCCACCCCCTCGTGTACCGTTCCGGCCTTCATAGGTGCACTTTATCTTTGTATGTCTGTGTGTGTGTGTCTGTGTGTGTGTGTCACTGTGTGTGTGTGTGTGTGTCACTGTGTGTGTGTGTGTCACTGTGTATGTGTGTCTGTGTGTGTGTGTGTCACTGTGTGTGTGTGTGTCACTGTGTGTGTGTCTGTGTCTGTGTGTGTGTCTGTGTGTGTCACTGTGTGTGTGTGTCACTGTGTGTGTATGTGTGTGTCTGTGTGTGTGTGCCACTGTGTGTGTGTGTGTCACTGTGTGTGTGTCTGTGTCACTGTGTGTGTCTGTGTGTGTGTCTGTCTGTGTGTCTGTGTGTGTGTCTGTGTGTGTATCTGGGTGTGTGTCTGTGTGTGTGTGTATGTGCGTGTGTTAATGCGTGTGTGTATGTGTGTGTGTCTGTGTGTGTATGTGTCTGTGTGTGTATGTGTCTGTGTGTGTGTCTGTGTCTCACTCCGAATCAGTCGAGCGGCAATATCTTTTCATCGGTTGCGTAACGCTGTGTGGAAGCTACCTGGTCTGTCGCTCCGCACTAAGCTTCAGGTCTTCTCGGCCACGGTCATTCCCTCCCTTCTCTACGCTTGCGAAACGTGGATCCCCCTAATGGAACATCTTCGCCGGTTAGAAACATTTAGGCTGGCCTGCCTACGATCCATCCTGGGTTTAACCAGACTGGATTGTGTGAGGAGCTCACAAATCCTTGAAAGATCTGGGCAAGGTCCCATCGGTGAGCTCCTACGGCAGGGAAGGCTGCGATGGCTGGGTCATGTAGCCCGCATGCCCAGCCACCGCATGCCGAAACGGCTTTTGTTTCGCCGGATTGAGGGGGCTAAGCGGGCGCGGCACGGGCTAGAGAAGAGATGGAGTGATGTGGTACAGGAGGACGTGGAGCTGAGTGGACTTGCCGATGACTGGTACCAGCGGTGTCAAGATCGGCCTCTGTGGAGGAGGCTCGTGAAGGACGCTACTGGGCAGTTGGAGGTAGTCGCCCTCCAACAACAACGGAGGGCGGAGGAGCGACGCTCAGAACAACGAGCGGAGCGCCGGGTGGCTAAAGCACAGCAGGTTGGCACAGTAGGGGGCACAGGTGGTGCATCAGCCAGTCATCTCAGTCAGTCGACCCGTGGCACCTGGGTCTGCCCCGTGACCTCCTGCCAGCGGGCGTTCGACACTTCACGTGGCCTCAAGGTGCACATGGCCTGGCACAAGCGTCGTGGTGACGTCACCGCCACTTAGTGGCGAATGGCGGTTGTTGTTGTTGTGTCTGTGTCTGTATGTGTGTGTGTGTCTGTGTCACTGTGTGTGTTTGTGTCACTGTGTGTGTGAGTGTGTCACTGTGTGTGTGTGAGTGTGTGTCTGTGTGTGTGTCTGTGTGTGTGTCTATGTGTGTGTATCTGTGTGTGTGTCTGTGTGTGTGTGTGTATGTGTGTGTGTTAATGTGTGTGTGTTAATGTGTGTGTATGTGTGTGTGTCTGTATGTGTATGTGTCTGTGTGTGTGTCTGTGTGTGTGTATGTGTGTGTGTGTGTCTGTGTGTGTGTATGTGTGCGTGTGTGTGAAGGTTCCCGTGTGCCAGGCCGTGTGGACGTCCTCTCTGAGCCGTGCCGCTCCGTCTCCTGCGGTGGCTCCCACACAGCTGCACTCACTGGTGAGTAACACACAGACACACCCACAGACACAGACACATACACACACACAGACACACAGACACACACACACACAGACACACACAGACAGACACACACACACAGACACACACACAGACAGACACACACACATACACACAGACAGACACACACACAGACACACAGATACACACACACACACAGACACATACAGACACACAGACACATACACACACAGACAGACAGACACACACAGACACACAGATACACACACACAGACACATACACACAGACAGACACACACACAGACAGACACACAGACACACACACACACATAGACACACACACACACACAGACACATGCACACACACATACAGACACACAGACACACACACACATACACACACACAGACACACACACACAGACACACACACACAGACACACACACAGACACACACACATACACGCACACATACACACACACAGACACATACACACAGACATACACACACATACACACAGACACACATACACACACATACACACATACACACACACACATACAGACACACACACATACAGACACACACACACACAGACACACACACATACAGACACACATACAGACACACACACACAGACACACACACAGACACATACACAGACACACACACAGACACACACACAGATACACTGAGACACACACATATACTCACACGCAGACAACAACAACAACCGCCATTTGCCACTAAGTGGCTGTGATGTCACCACGACGCTTGTGCCAGGCTATGTGCACCCTGAGGCCACGTGAAGTGTCGAACACCCGCTGGCAGGAGGTCACGGGGCAGACCCAGGTGCCACGGGTCGACTGACTGAGATGACTGGCTGATGCACCACCTGTGCCCCCTACTGTGCCAACCTGCTGTGCTTTAGCCACCCGGTGCTCCGCTCGTTGTTGTGAGCGTCGCTCCTCCGCCCTCCGTTGTTGTTGGAGGGCGACTGCCTCCAACTGCCCAGTAGCGTCCTTCACGAGCCTCCTCCACAGAGGCCGATCTTGACACCGCTGGTACCAGTCATCGGCAAGTCCACTCAGCTCCACGTCCTCCTGCACCACATCACTCCATCTCTTCTCTAGCCCGTGCCGCGCCCGTTTAACCCCTCAATGCGGCCGAACAAAAGCTGTTTCGGCATGCGGTGGCTGGGCATGCGGGCTACATGACCCAGCCATCGCAGCCTTGCCCGCCGGAGGAGCTCACCGATGGGACCTTGCCCAGATCTTTCAAGGATTTTTGAGCTCCTCACACAATCCAGTCTGGTTAAACCCAGGATGGATCGTAGGCAGGCCAGCCTAAATGTTTCTAACCGGCGAAGATATTCCATTACAGGGGTCCACGTTTTGCAAGCATAGAAAAGGGAGGGAATGACCGTGGCCGAGAAGACCTGAAGCTTAGTGCGGAGCGACAGACCAGGTAGCTTCCACACAGCGTTACGCAACCGATGAAAAGATATTGCCGCTCGACTGATTCGGAGTGAGACCTCTGCTGTTAAACTGGAGCCAGTCATAAGCACACTGCCCAGGTATGGGAAACTCTCCACTCGCTCCACAACTGCCCCATCACCGATTGGTAGTTGTGGGGGTGGAGTGTCCGATGGTACAAAATACCCAGGCAGGTGCTTAGTTTTGGTGGGGCTGATGGTAATGCCGCACCTCTTAGTGGCACGCTCCAGTCTCAGCAGCAGCGTCTCCGACTCCTCCTCTGAATGAGCAGCTATTACCAATTCATCGGCATACATAACGTGGTTGAGCAATCGGGAGCCATCCCTTGACCGCACCTGGGCATCGATCAGCCTCCCATTTTATCTGTACCAAATGGAGATTCCCCCGGTACAGCTATTGAAGGCTTCACGAACTACGTGGTCAAAGTAGATGTTAAATAATGTGGGAGCCAGAGGACATCCCTGTTGCACCCCAAGGTGTACAGGGAATAGCTCTGACTCCCGGCCACGTAGTTTTACCCGGGCCCGCTCACCATCATGAAGGTCCTTAATGATCGTGAGCAGAGGGTCAGGTACTCCAAAAGCACGAACCACAACCCAGGCCTACTGATGGTATCATAGGCCTTGACCAGGTCAATAAAGCAGAGATGTAGGTCTTGTTGGAATTCCCTACACCTCTGCTGTAGCAGACGGACAGAAAATATGGCATCTGTGTAGGACCGCCCTTTCCTGAAACTGCATTGGGGCTCCGCAAGCCTCTCCTCAGCGTGCCTGGCAAGGCGTTGTTGAATAATCCTTGCCAGGACCTTTCCCGGCACATTGAGGAGTGAGATGCCCCTGTAGTTGTTACAGTTTGTGCGTTCCACCTTTTTATAAGGGGACCACCAGGGCATTCTTCCAATCCTGCGGAACCCGTCCAGTGGTCCAGACTGTTGTTATGATGTCATATAGGGCAGTCTGTGCACAAACGCCACCCTCCCTCAGCATTTCGCTTGGGAGATCATCTCTGCCCGCTGCCTTTCCTGGTCTCAGACTCTGGATCGCCTTCAGTACTTCCTTAACAGATGGCACTTCAGCCAGCCACTCACAGGGGGTGACTTATTCCAATATTTGAGGCACCGCCGCCTCAGCAGGGTCATCCTCACTTTGTGCCACGATGTTTTCCTGGCTGAGGGATTTTCCCTCCCCCAGGACCTCACAGAAATGCTCAGCAAATCTGCCAACCTGTTCCTGGGGGTCGGAGATTGGATCACCGTTTTTTCCCCTAATGATGGTAATAGGTGTGGCGCTGCAGGTTACTTTTTTGATGGAGTTAAATAGAGATTTGTGATCACGGGCCACTGAGGCAGACTCCATCTCCTCAGCAACCCGCGACCACCACCCAACCTTGCAGCGCCTCACGGCTCTCCGGACCTCCGAGCAAAGGCTGCGGTAAGCCTCCTCATTCTCTGACGTGGGATTCTGTAGCCGATGACAGTGGGCCTGTCGCTTTTTCTCAACCATCCTGAACACCTCCTCTGTCAGCCAGGGTCTCTGGGGAGGTCTGGACCGCGCACCCAAAGCAGCCATTGCAGCTGCATGAGTCACAGTCCTAAACCTCGCCCATTTACCCTCGACATCAGGAGGAGTCGAGGACGATGCCAATCCCAGCCGCAAGCGATGATGAAATTCTCGCTTGCAACTTTCATCAGATAACTGAGACCAGGACACTTTAGGTTGGAATGGGGTCCTGGGTGTACACCCACCACCGGAGTGGAAGAATGGCAGGCGCATCTTACAGATGACTAGTCGATGGTCAGAGGGCAGATCAGCTCCACGGTAGGTCCTGGTGTCAAGGACATGGGCTCGCATCCGCTGGTCCGTCACTATGTAGTCCAGCAGATGTTCTTGCTTGGACCCGGCATGCATCCATGATGTTGTGTGGATGCGCCGATACCGGGACAGCGTGTTGGTAATTACAAGCCCATGGGCTGCACAAAAATCTAGCAGCCTCCTACCGTTGTTATTGAGTTGATCTGGCCCATGCCCTCCAATCACTCCAGACCAGGTGCCAGTATCATGACCAACTCGGGCATTGAAGTCACCCAACATGATGACTCTATCCCGAGGGGCCACTTTAGCCAGCACCTGTGACAGGAGGTCATAGAAGGCATCTGACTCATCGGCTTTGCCTGCATCCCTCCACGGATGTTCATCTTCGGTGGGGGCATAAGTAACCACGACCACCATTCCTCGCCTCCGGTTGATGGGAAGGCGAGCCCAAAGTAGCCTGGGGCTTACAGCTTCCCACACCTCACCGCCACGCTCCCACGCCCCCTTCATTCTTTTATTCAAAAGAAGACCCACACCCTGTTGTTTGGCAGTCTGCTGCCCCGAGTAGAGGACTGTCCACCCCTCATGGTGGCAGGAGCCAGAGCCGGTCCACCGGACCTCCTGAATGCCGCATAGATCCAGGCGGTACCGGTCCAGCTCCCGACAGAGGAGTGGCAGCCTCTCCTCTGCAGTGAGCGTTCAAACATTCCACGTGGCCACCCGTAGTGGCGTTTCGTTGTTTCTGGAGGAGCCCCGAGGGTAGGTATTCAATCTCCTGGCTCCGCCAATTGGGGTTTGGCCAGGAGACGTCATAGACGCCTTGCCCCCCGGGGCCTCCGGCACAAGATTATTAGTTACATATTTCAGTTTAACTCGTGGTTTCGTGGTAATTAATTGAAGGTGGAGGGGTTACCAGCCCCTCGCACCCGTCCAGAGCCCCCGTTTAGCCCCTGTGGTGGACACATATGCCATGAGGGGAGGAGCCAATCAAAATTGGATCTCCCCCCACAGCACTGTCCACGACAGAGTTGCCCGTCCGGCACCGCGAGGAGGTAGGGGTTTTTTTTGCCGGACTACACACACACACACAGACACACACACACATACACACAGACACACACACACACACATACACACAGACACACACACACAGACACACACACAGACACACACAGACACACACACAGACACACACACACATACATACACACATACACACACAGACACACACACAGACACACACACAGACACACACACATACACACAGACACACACAGACACACACACAGACAACAACAACAACCGCCATTCGCCACTAAGTGGCGGTGACGTCACCACGACGCTTGTGCCAGGCTATGTGCACCCTGAGGCCACGTGAAGTGTCGAACGCCCGCTGGCAGGAGGTCACGGGGCAGACCCAGGTGCCACAGGTCGACTGACTGAGATGACTGGCTGATGCACCACCTGTGCCCCCTACTGTGCCAACCTGCTGTGCTTTAGCCACCCGGCGCTCCGCTCGCTGTTGTGAGCGTCGCTCCTCCGCCCTCCGTTGTTGTTGGAGGGCGACTGCCTCCAACTGCCCAGTAGCATCCTTCACGAGCCTCCTCCACAGAGGCCGATCTTGACACCGCTGGTACCAGTCATCGGCAAGTCCACTCAGCTCCACGTCCTCCTGTACCACATCACTCCATCTCTTCTCGAGCCCGTGCCGCGCCCGCTTAGCCCCCTCAATCCGGCCAAACAAAAGCTGTTTCGGCATGCGGTGGCTGGGCATGCGGGCTACATGACCCAGCCATCGCAGCCTTGCCTGCCGGAGGAGCTCACCGATGGGACCCTGCCCAGATCTTTCAAGGATTTGTGAGCTCCTCACACAATCCAGTCTGGTTAAACCCAGGATGGATCGTAGGCAGGCCAGCCTAAATGTTTCTAACCGGCGAAGATGTTCCATTAGGGGGGTCCACGTTTCGCAAGCGTAGAGAAGGGAGGGAATGACCGTGGCCGAGAAGACCTGAAGCTTAGTGCGGAGCGACAGACCAGGTAGCTTCCACACAGCGTTACGCAACCGATGAAAAGATATTGCCGCTCGACTGATTCGGAGTGAGACCTCTGCTGTTAAACTGGAGCCAGTCATAAGCACACTGCCCAGGTATGGGAAACTCTCCACTCTCTCCACAACTGCCCCATCACCGATTGGGAGTTGTGGGGGTGGAGTGTCCGATGGTACAAAATACCCAGGCAGGTGCTTAGTTTTGGTGGGGCTGATGGTAAGGCCCCACCTCTTAGTGGCACGCTCCAGTCTCAGCAGCAGCGTCTCCAACTCCTCCTCTGACTGAGCAGCTATTACCACACAGACACACACACATACACACACACATACATACACACATACACACACACACACATCTGTAACGTCTATGACCCCCTCTGTGCGTGACCCTTGAACCGTCCCGCCCCGCCGCCCCCCGTAGAGTCGGGGTCACTGTGGCTGTGGGGTCAAGGGTCACGGGGTCAGCTGGGCCTGGGGGCTGTCGTGACCTCCACGGCCGTGCCGACTCGCGCTGAGATTCCGTCTGGCGGTGAAGTCCACTCTGTGGGGACTGGAGCAGAGCACACGGCACTCATCACTGGTAAACTACTACGCTACATTATACACTACTACACTACATTATATACTATACACTACTACATTATACACTACTACACTACATTATATACTACATTATACACTACTACATTATACACTACTGCGTTATACACTACTACGTTATATACTACTACGTTATATACTACTACGTTATACACTATATACTACTACACTACATTATACACTACTACATTATACACTACTACGTTATATACTACTACACTACATTATATACTACTACATTATACACTACTACACTATACACTACTACATTATACCCTACTACATTATACACTACTACACTATACACTACTACATTATATACTACTACATTATGTACTACTACACTATACACTACTACACTACATTATACACTACTACACTACATTATACACTACTACATTATACACTACTACGTTATATACTACTACACTACATTATATACTACTACATTATGCACTACTACATTATATACTACTACACTACATTATACACTACTACATTATATACTACTACACTACATTATACACTACTACTCTACATTATATACTACATTATATACTATACACTACATTATACACTACTACATTATACACTACTACACTATACACTACTACATTATACACTACTACATTATACACTACTACGTTATACACTATACACTACTACACTACATTATACACTACTTCATTATATACTACTACACTACATTTAACACTGCACTACTATACACTATACTATACACTACTACACTGCATTATACACTACACTACTATACAATATACTTTACACTACTACACTACATTATACACTACACTATACACTACTACACTACTACATTATATACTACTACACTATATACTACTACACTACATTATACACTACTACACTACTGATGTTGTTGTTGTAGGTGATGTTGTAGTAGTTGTAGTAGTTGTTGTTGTTGTGGTAGTAGTTGTTGTAATAGTTGTTGTTGTTGTGGTAGTAGTTGTTGTAATAGTAGTTGTGGTGGTAGTTGTTGTTGTAGGTGATGTTGTAGGTGATGTTGTAGGTGATGTTGTTGTTGTGGTAGTAGTTGTTGTTGTAGGTGATGTTGTTGTGGTAGTAGTTGTTGTTGTAGGTGATGTTGTTGTTGTAGGTGATGTTGTTGTTGTGGTAGTAGTTGTTGTAGTAGTAGTTGTTGTAATAGTAGTTGTGGTAGTAGTTGTAGGTGATGTTGTTGTTGTGGTAGTAGTTGTTGTTGTAGGTGATGTTGTTGTTGTAGGTGATGTTGTTGTGGTAGTAGTTGTTGTGGTAGTAGTTGTAGTAGTTGTGGTAGTAGTTGTTGTTGTAGGAGTTGTTGTAGGTGATGTTGTTGTGGTAGTAGTTGTTGTAGGTGATGTTGTTGTAGGTGATGTTGTTGTGGTTGTAGGTGATGTTGTTGTTGTAGGTGATGTTGTTGTGGTTGTAGGTGATGTTGTTGTTGTAGGTGATGTAGCAGTAGTAGTAGTAGTTGTTGTTGTGGTAGTAGTTGTAGTAGTTGTTGTAGGTGATGTTGTTGTTGATGTTGTTGTTGTGGTAGTAGTTGTAGTAGTTGATGTTGTAGGTGATGTTGTTGTTGTGGTAGTAGTTGTTGTTGTGGTAGTAGTTGTTGATGTTGTTGTTGTGGTAGTTGTTGTTGTTGTTGATGTTGTTGTAGGTGATGTTGTGGTAGTAGTAGTTGATGTTGTTGATGTTGTTGTTGTAGGTGTTGTTGTTGTTGATGTTGTAGTTGTAGGTGTTGTTGTTGATGTTGTTGTGGTATTAGTTGTAGTAGTTGTGGTTGTTGTTGTGGTAGTTGTTGTTGATGTAGGTGATGTTGTTGTGGTAGTAGTAGTAGTAGTTGATGTTGTTGATGTTGATGTTGTTGTTGATGTTGTAGGTGATGTTGTTGTTGTTGTAGTAGTTGATGTTGTTGTTGATGTTGCAGGTGATGTTGTTGATGTTGTTGTTGCAGGTGATGTTGTTGATGTTGTTGTTGTAGTATTAGTTGATGTTGTTGTTGATGTTGTTGTTGATGTTGTTGTTGTAGTAGTTGTAGTAGTTGATGTTGTTGATGTTGTTGTTGTTGATGTTGTTGTAGTAGTAGTTGTTGTTGATGTTGTTGTTGTAGTAGTTGTTGTTGTGGTAGTAGTTGTTGAAGTTGTTGTTGTAGTAGATGTTGTTGTGGTAGTAGTAGTTGTAGTAGTTGTTGTAGTAGTAGTTGTTGTAATAGTAGTTGTGGTAGTAGTTGTAGGTGATGTTGTTGTGGTAGTAGTTGTTGTAGGTGATGTTGTTGTTGTAGGTGATGTTGTTGTTGATGTTGTTGTAGTAGTAGTTGTAGTAGATGTTGTTGTAGGTGATGTTGTTGTTGTGGTAGTAGTTGTTGATGTTGTTGTTGATGTTGTAGTAGTTGTTGTTGCTGATGTTGTTGATGTTGTTGGTGTTGTTGTAGCTGATGTTGTTGATGTTGTTGTTGTGGTAGTAGATGTTGTTGATGTTGTTGATGTTGTGGTAGTAGTTGATGTTGTTGTTGTGGTAGTAGTTGTTGATGTTGTTGTGGTAGTAGTAGTTGTAGTAGTAGTTGTTGATGTTGTAGTAGTTGTGGTAGTAGTTGTAGTTGATGTTGTTGTTGATGTTGTTGTAGTGGTTGTTGATGTTGTTGATGGAGTTGATGTTGTTGATGTTGTAGTAGTAGTTGTTGTAGTAGTTGATGTTGTTGTAGTAGTTTATGTTGTTGTTGATGATGTTGTTGATGTTGTTATTGATGTTGTTGATGATGTTGTTGATGATGTTGTAGTAGTTGTAGTAGTTGTTGTAGTAGTAGTTGTTGTGGTAGTAGTTGTTGTTGTTGTGGTAGTAGTAGTTGATGTTGTTGTAGTAGTAGTTGATGTTGTTGATGTTGTTTATGTTGTTGATGTTGTAGTTGATGTTGTTGTTGATGTCGTAGTTGATGTTGTTGATGTTGTTGTTGTGGTAGTAGTTGTAGTAGTTGTGGTAGTAGTTGTAGTTGATGTTGTTGTTGATGTTGTTGTTGTAGTAGTTGGTGATGTTGTTGTTGATGTTGTAGTTGACGATGTTGTTGTAGTAGTTGTTGTTGTTGATGTTGATGTTGTTGTTGATGTTGTTGTAGTTGTTGTAGTCGTTGTAGTAGTTGATGTTGTTGTTGATGTTGTAGTTGATGTTGTAGTTGATGATGTTGTTGTAGTAGTTGTTGTTATTGTTGATGTTGATGTTGTTGTTGATGTTGTTGTAGTTGTTGTAGTCGTTGTAGTAGTTGATGTTGTTGTTGATGTTGTTGTTGATGTTGTAGTTGATGATGTTGTTGATGTTGTAGTTGATGATGTTGTTGTAGTAGTTGTTGTTGTTGTTATTGTTGATGTTGTTGTTGTTGATGATGTTGTAGGTGATGTTGTTGATGTTGTTGTTGATGTTGTAGTTGTTGTTGATGTTGTTGATGTTGTTGTTGATGATGTTGTTGTTGATGATGTTGTTGATGTTGTTGATGTTGATGATGTTGTTATTGATGTTGTAGTTGATGTTGATGTTGTTGTTGATGTTGTAGTTGATGATGTTGTTGTAGTAGTTGTTGTTATTGTTGATGTTGTTGTAGTTGTTGTAGTCGTTGTAGTAGTTGATGTTGTTGTTGATGTTGTTGATGTTGTAGTTGATGATGTTGTTGTTGTTATTGTTGATGTTGTTGTTGTTGATGTTGTAGTTGATGTTGTTGTTGTTGTTGATGTTGTAGTTGATGTTGTTGTTGATGTTGTTATTGTTGATGTTGTTATTGTTGATGTTGATGTTGTAGTTGATGATGTTGTTGTAGTAGTTGTTGTTGTTATTGTTGATGTTGTTGTTGTTGATGTTGTAGTTGATGTTGTTGTTGTTGTTGTTATTGTTGATGTTGTAGTTGTTGTTGTTGATGCTGTTGTGTTAGTAGTAGTAGTAGTTGTTGTTGATGTTGTTGTTGATGGTGTTGTTGTTGTTGTTGTAGTAGTTGGTGATGTTGTTGTTGATGTTGTAGTTGATGATGTTGTTGTAGTTGGTGATGTTGTTGTTGATGTTGTAGTTGATGATGTTGTTGTAGTAGTTGTTGTTGTTATTGTTGATGTTGTAGTTGATGTTGTTGTTGATGTCGTAGTTGATGATGTTGTTGTAGTAGTTCTTGTTGTTATTGTTGATGTTGATGTTGTTGTTGATGATGTTGATGATGTTGTAGTAGTTGTTGTTATTGTTGATGTTGTTGTTGATGTTGTTGTTGTTGTTGATGTTGTAGTTGATGATGTTGTTGTAGTAGTTGTTGATGTTGTTGTTGATGCTGATGTTGTTGATGTTGTAGTAGTTGTTGATGTTGTTGTAGTAGTTGTTGATGTTGTAGTTGATGTTGATGTAGTTGTTGTAGTAGTAGTAGTTGTTGTAGTAGTAGTTGATGTTATTGTTGTAGTTGATGTTGTTGTAGTAGTTGTTGATGTAGTTGATTTCGATTTAAAGCTTTCGTGACTGCAATGATTCATCTTCTTTGGTTCTTTCGGTAAAGTCACGTAGAATGATAATAAAATAATAAATTGATAAAATAAAATAACACAATAATATTCTCACGACGTTTCGGCCACAACACAAGCGGCCTTCATCAGGTGAAGGGGGCGAGACTGTCTGGTAGGACAGCGCTGGAGTGAAAGAGCCACGTTCAGATACGGCCTTTAAGCTGTGTGAGAGGAACAAAGCGCCTTGACAAAGGAATTAGCATATAATTTAGCATTGAAATGGCTGAATGATTAGCTTGTGACTGGTCACAGAAATAGCTATGTTAAAAGTTCAAGCATACACACCCGCAGAGGCACCCATTGTTAAAGGAATTAGCATTGAATTTAGCATTGAAATAGCTAAGTTAAGGCATACACATCTTGACAATGGAATTAGCATAGAATTTAGCATTGAGATAGCTGAGTGATTAGCTTGTACCTGCTGCAGAAATAGAGCTTGTACCTGCTGTAGAAATAGCTACGTTAAAGTCAGAGCATACACATTCACCGAGGCCCTTAGTACAAATCAAACAGGAGACTTTAGCATTGAAATAACTAGGCGAATCCAGCATTGAAACAACTGAGTGATTAGCTAGTGACTGGTCACAGAAATGACTACACATCTGAGCTATTCACAGTACTATATAGTGAACCAATAAAAACTAAAATATAAATTTCCTTCATGTTATCAATAAACTCTATATTCTCCAATCAGCTAAGCTACCAACAATAAGTCGTTATATATCACAATGCTATATGGCGAAAAAATGGGTGGATTCTTACCCTCAAATTTCAGCACCACGGATAGCTACGGGCCCCGTTCAGACGGACGAGTTCGTCCATGGTCGGAACAGAGGAGGGGGAGAGAGACAGCTGCGAGGCCCTAGTATGCTCCATGTTGTAAAACTATACCATTAACCGTGGTGTGAGAGGTATTAAGAGGAAATGCTGGCGAAAGAGCTGCGGTCTGAAGGTCATCGTAAAAATACAATTAATTAAGAACAGAAATGATTTAAAACATCTTTCCAGTGGTTACTAAGCCTGAATCCATCTTCTCGGTTGAAATTGTCTCTGTGCTTGTATATGTGAATGGCCTCATGAACGAATCTCTCATGGTAGCCGGTTGGTTTGCAAAGAACCTCCGTCTTGGAGAAGTCAATGTCATGTGAGCCCACTGAATTATAACAGTGATCTGCCACGGCAGAGGAGTTCGTCCTACCGTGTTTCAAGTCTGCTTTGTGTTCGCGGATGCGGTCCGAGATATGTCTTTTGGTTTCTCCAATGTAGCTACTACCACAGAGGCACTTTAGTTTGTAAACGCCCGGGTACTGTATGTCTGGAACAGCATCTTTTACAGATGGAACTAAATCACGGATTTTATGTACTGTGTTGAATCGGACCTGGATCTTGTGTTTGTTCAGGATTTTGGAGATCTTTTTAGTGACCCCTGCAATGTAGGGTAAGGTGATGGTTTTGAGTGGCTCCACAAGAGGATCCTTCTTCATGACTGGAGTGATGGCTTTGCGGATTGTGTAGTCGGAGTAGCCATTAGCCCTGAGAGCCTGGTGTACGTGCTTGAGTTCACTGGTAATGTGTTCCTGGTCGGAAATGCATTGGGCTCTATGGTATAGAGTCTTGATGAGGGAGTTCTTCTGGGATGGATGGTGGTGGGAATCCGGTTTCAAGTAAGCATCTGTATGGGTAGCTTTCCTGTAGACAGAGTGGCTCATTGAACCATCATGTCTTCTTTTAATTAAGACATCCAAAAAGGGTAGTTTGCCATCTTTTTCGACCTCCATGGTAAATCTGATGGCTGGGTGTATGGAATTGATGTGGTCGCGGAATTGGTCTAGAGCAGGCTGGCCATGTGGCCAGATGACAAAGGTGTCATCAATGTACCTCTTCCATAAGGTCGGGCGTAGAGTGGCAGTCTGGATGGCGTCAGTTTCAAATTTTTCCATGAATACGTTGGCTACAACCGGAGATAGGGGGGAGCCCATTGGGGTGCCCTCAGTTTGTTTGTAGAAAGTTCCATTCCAGGTGAAGTAAGTGTTGGTTAAGCAATGTCTCACCAGGGGGGGTACATCAGTATGCAGTCCTTGATGAACCAGGTCTTCAATGATAGCGATGGTGTCAGGTACCGGGACTTTGGTGAACAAGGACACCACATCAAAACTGACAAGCAGGTCGTTTGGGGACAGGGAAATGTCTTTGATTGTCGATACCACCTCTGCGGTACTAAATTCTACTCACCTGGTATCGACAATCAAAGGCATTTCCCTGTCCCCAAACGACCTGCTTGTCAGTTACCATAGAGCCCAATGCATTTCCGACCAGGAACACATTACCAGTGAACTCAAGCACGTACACCAGGCTCTCAGGGCTAATGGCTACTCCGACTACACAATCCGCAAAGCCATCACTCCAGTCATGAAGAAGGATCCTCTTGTGGAGCCACTCAAAACCATCACCTTACCCTACATTGCAGGGGTCACTAAAAAGATCTCCAAAATCCTGAACAAACACAAGATCCAGGTCCGATTCAACACAGTACATAAAATCCGTGATTTAGTTCCATCTGTAAAAGATGCTGTTCCAGACATACAGTACCCGGGCGTTTACAAACTAAAGTGCCTCTGTGGTAGTAGCTACATTGGAGAAACCAAAAGACATATCTCGGACCGCATCCGCGAACACAAAGCAGACTTGAAACACGGTAGGACGAACTCCTCTGCCGTGGCAGATCACTGTTATAATTCAGTGGGCTCACATGACATTGACTTCTCCAAGACGGAGGTTCTTTGCAAACCAACCGGTTACCATGAGAGATTCGTTCATGAGGCCATTCACATATACAAGCACAGAGACAATTTCAACCGAGAAGATGGATTCAGGCTTAGTAACCACTGGAAAGATGTTTTAAATCATTTCTGTTCTTAATTAATTGTATTTTTACGATGACCTTCAGACCGCAGCTCTTTCGCCAGCATTTCCTCTTAATACCTCTCACACCACGGTTAATGGTATAGTTTTACAACATGGAGCATACTAGGGCCTCGCAGCTGTCTCTCTCCCCCTCCTCTGTTCCGACCATGGACGAACTCGTCCGTCTGAACGGGGCCCGTAGCTATCCGTGGTGCTGAAATTTGAGGGTAAGAATCCACCCATTTTTTCGCCATATAGCATTGTGATATATAACGACTTATTGTTGGTAGCTTAGCTGATTGGAGAATATAGAGTTTATTGATAACATGAAGGAAATTTATATTTTAGTTTTTATTGGTTCACTATATAGTACTGTGAATAGCTCAGATGTGTAGTCATTTCTGTGACCAGTCACTAGCTAATCACTCAGTTGTTTCAATGCTGGATTCGCCTAGTTATTTCAATGCTAAAGTCTCCTGTTTGATTTGTACTAAGGGCCTCGGTGAATGTGTATGCTCTGACTTTAACGTAGCTATTTCTACAGCAGGTACAAGCTCTATTTCTGCAGCAGGTACAAGCTAATCACTCAGCTATCTCAATGCTAAATTCTATGCTAATTCCATTGTCAAGATGTGTATGCCTTAACTTAGCTATTTCAATGCTAAATTCAATGCTAATTCCTTTAACAATGGGTGCCTCTGCGGGTGTGTATGCTTGAACTTTTAACATAGCTATTTCTGTGACCAGTCACAAGCTAATCATTCAGCCATTTCAATGCTAAATTATATGCTAATTCCTTTGTCAAGGCGCTTTGTTCCTCTCACACAGCTTAAAGGCCGTATCTGAACGTGGCTCTTTCACTCCAGCGCTGTCCTACCAGACAGTCTCGCCCCCTTCACCTGATGAAGGCCGCTTGTGTTGTGGCCGAAACGTCGTGAGAATATTATTGTGTTATTTTATTTTATCAATTTATTATTTTATTATCATTCTACGTGACTTTACCGAAAGAACCAAAGAAGATGTAGTTGATGTTGTTGTTGTTGATGATGATGATGTTGTAGTAGTTGTTGTTATTGTTGATGTTGTAGTTGTTGTTGATGTTGATGTTGTTGTTATTGTTGATGTTGTTGTTGATGATGATGATGATGTTGTAGTAGTAGTTGTTGTTATTGTTGATGTTGTTGTTGATGTTGTTGTTATTGTTGATATTGTTGTTGTTGTTGATGCTGCAGGTGACGAGCGGCTGCTGCTGTTTGGCTCTGGCCGCTGCGGCCGTCCGGGACTCCGAGACTCCTTGAACCACTTCAGGGCTCAGCCACCTCACGGCGCACCCACACACGCACGTACTGTACGTACTGTACACACCGTGCATACTGTATGTACTGTACACACTTGTATGTGTCGTGCACGCACTGTACGTGCACTGTATACACTGTACACCACTTCAGGGCTCAGCCACCGCACGGGGGAACCCCAACACGCACGTACTGTATGTACTGTACACACTGTACACACACTGTATACACACTGTACACACACTACACACACACGGTACACACTACACTACACACACTACACTACACACACACTACACACACTACACTACACACACTACACACACACACTACACACACTACACACACACTACACACACACTACACTACACACTAGACATACACACACACTACACACACACACTACACACACACTACACACTACACACACACTACACACACTACACTACACACATACTACACTCACACTACACACACTACACACACTACACTACACATACTACACTCACACTACACACACTACACACACTACACTACACACATACTACACACACACTACACTACACACACTACACACACACACTACACACATACTACACACACACTACACTACACACACTACACACACACTACACACCACACACTACACTACACACACTACACTACACACACTACACACACACTACACACACACTACACACACACTACACACCACACACTACACACACTACACTACACACACTACACTACACATACTACACACACTACACACACACACTACACACACACACACTACACACACAGTACACACACACTACACACACACACACTACACACACACTACACACACTACACTACACACACACTACACACACTACACACACTACACTACACACACTACACACACACACACGGTACACACACACCACACACACTACACACACACTACACCACACACACACACTACACACACTACACACACACTACACACACACTACACACACACTACACACACTACACACACACTACACACACACACTACACACACTACACACACACACTACACACACTACACTACATACACTACACACACTACACACACACTACACACACTACACTACACACACACTACACACACTACACTACACACACACTACACACACTACACTACACACACTACACTACACACACTACACACACACTACACACACACACTACACACACACTACACACACTACACTACACACACTACACTACACACACTACAATACACACACTACACACACACACTACACACTACACTACACACACACACTACACACACACACTACACACACTACACACACACACTACACACACACTACACTCGACTGATTCGGAGTGAGACCTCTGCTGTCAAACCAGAGCCGGTCATGAGCACACTGCCCCAGGTATTTAGGGAAACGCTCCACTATCTTCACAACTACCCCTATCACCGATTGTGAGTTGTGGTGGTGGTGGTGGTGGCGGAGTGTCCGATGGTACAAAACACCCAGGCAGGTGCCAAGTTTTGCTGGGGCTGATGGCAAGGCCCCCACCTCTCGGTGGCAAGCTCCAGTCTCAGCGGCATAGTTTCCGCAAGTCTTTTCACGTATTTGTTATAGCCCGCACAGTGGGTAATTCGGTTCTCTGAATCTCGTGTGACCGCAACAAGCCGTAAAAAAAAAACACCACCAAAAAAATAAACGAGAACAAGAAAACTATCTTGAAGTGACTGTGTGCACGTGCGAACAGAAAATCCCCCGGGGGAAGGAAAAACCCCCATCGAAATATTCCATCGAAATAATATTCCATCGAAATATTCCATCGAAATATTCCATCGAAATATTCCTCGAAATATTCCATCGAAATATTCCATCGAAATATTCCATCAAAATATTTCTCCAAATATTCCATCAAAAGATTCCTCGAAATATTCCTCGAAATATTCCATCGAAATATTCCATCGAAATATTCCATCGAAATAATAGTCCATCGAAATAATATTCCATCGAAATATTCCATCGAAATATTCTTCGAAATAGTCCTCGAAATATTCCATCGAAATATTCCTCGAAATATTCCATCGAAATATTCCATCGAAATATTCCTCAAATATTCCATCGAAATATTCCATCAAATTATTCCATCGAAATATTCCATCGAAATATTCCTCGAAATATTCCATCGAAATATTCCACCAAATTATTCCATCGAAATATTGCTCAAAATATTCCATCGAAATATTCCATCGAAATATTCCATCGAAATATTCCTCGAAATATTCCATCGAAATATTCCTCGAAATATTCCATCGAAATATTCCTCGAAATAATATTCCATCGAAATATTCCATCGAAATATTCCATCGAAATATTCCTCCGAAATATTCCATCGAAATATTCCTCGAAATATTCCTCGAAAGAATCCTCGAAATATTCCTCGAAATATTCCATCGAAATATTCCTCAAAATATTCCATTGAAATATTCCATCGAAATAGTCCTTGTCTGCAGCAACTCCTCCTCTGAGCGAGCAGCTGTGACAGACGTTAGTTCACGGAGTTGTATTGCAGCTCCCCGTCATCGCTGTTACATGTATGGCTCTGTTTTTATTTTGGTGATTGGCTTTGTTATTTTGGCGATTTCTTAAAACGTTGTTTTTGGTGGGGTTTTGGCCATGTTTTGGTGTTGTTGTAGTACGGGGTTTAGACTGACGGCCTTAATCTAAAGTTGTCTTGTGGTGGTTGTTGTTGTTGTGGTTGTTGTTGTGGTTGTTGTGGTGGTTGTGGTTGTTGTTGTGGTTGTTGTTGTTGTGGTTGTTGTTGTGGTTGTTGTTGTTGTTGTGGTTGTTGTAGTGGTTGTTGTTGTGGTTGTTGTTGTGGTTGTTGTAGTGGTTGTTGTAGTGGTTGTTGTTGTGGTTGTTGTTGTGGTTGTTGTGGTTGTTGATGTTGTGGTTGTTGTTGTGGTTGTTGTTGTGGTTGTTGTTGTTGTGGTTGTTGTTGTGGTTGTTGTTGTGGTGGTTGTTGTTGTGGTTGTTGTGGTTGTTGTTGTGGTTGTTGTGGTTGTTGATGTTGTGGTTGTTGTTGTGGTTGTTGTTGTGGTTGTTGTTGTTGTTGTGGTTGTTGTTGTTGTTGTTTTACTTTGCATCCCTACTGCGATTCGTTGGTGGTGTGCACGGTGCTTTGAACGGGAATATTTTTTGCCGGTTTTTTTTTGTTCTCCTGGATTTCTGTTTGCGCACGTAACTACGGAACGATGAAAACTACGAACCAAATCATCGGCATACGTCACGTGGTCGAGCAATCAGTAGGGGCCATCATCCGCACCCGGGCATCGATCAGCCTCCACTGGACGAGCGACGCTCACAACAACGAGCGGAGCGCCGGGTGGCTAAAGCGCAGCGGTTTGGCACAGTAGGAGGCACAGGTGGTGCACCAGCCAGTCATCTCAGTCGACACGTGGCACCTGCTGGGTCTGCCCTCGTGACCTCCTGGTGCACCTAGCCTGGCACAGTAGGGGGCACAGATGGTGCATCAGCCAGTCATCTCGGTCATCTCAGTCAGTCGATCTGTGGCACCTGGGTCTGCCACGTGACCTCCTGGTGCACTTAGCCTGGCACAGTAGGGGGGCACAGGTGGTGCATCAGCCAGTCATCTCAGTCAGTCGACCCGTGGCACCTGCTGGGTCTGCCCACGTGACCTGGTGCACCTAGCCTGGCACAGTTGGGGGCACAGGTGGTGCATCAGCCAGTCATCTCAGTCAGTCGACCCGTGGCACCTGCTGGGTCTGCCCACGTGACCTGGTGCACCTAGCCTGGCACAGTTGGGGGCACAGATGGTGCATCAGCCAGTTATCTCAGTCAGTCGACACGTGGCACCTGCTGGGTCTGCCCACGTGACCTGGTGCACCTAGCCTGGCACAGTAGGGGGCACAGGTGGTGCATCAACCAGTCATCTCAGTCAGTCGACACGTGGCACCTGCTGGGTCTGCCCACGTGACCTCCTGGTGCACCTAGCCTGGCACAGTAGGGGGCACAAGGTGGTGCATCAGCCAGTCATCTCAGTCAGTCGACACGTGGCACCTGCTGGGTCTGCCCACGTGACCTGGTGCACCTAGCCTGGCACAGGGGGGCACAGGTGGTGCACCAGCCAGTCATCTCAGTCAGTCGACCCGTGGCACCTGCTGGGTCTGCCCACGTGACCTCCTGGTGCACCTAGCCTGGCACAGTAGGGGGGCACAGGTGGTGCATCAGCCAGTCATCCCAGTCGACACGTGGCACCTGCTGGGTCTGCCCACGTGACCTCCTGCCCCCCGGCGGGCATTCGACACTTCACGTGGTGGCCTCAAGGTGCACCTAGCCTGGCACAAGCGTCGTGGTGACGTCACCGCCACTTAGTGGCGAATGGCGGTTGTTGTTGATGATGTTGTTGATGTTGTTGATGTTGTTGTTGATGTTGTTGATGTTGTTGTTGATGGTTGATGTTGTTGATGTTGATGTTGTTGTTGATGTTGTTGATGTTGTTGTTGATGTTGAAGTTGTTGTTGTTGTTGATGTTGTTGATGTTGTTGATGTTGTTGATGTTGTTGTTGACGTTGTTGTTGATATTGTTGATGTTGTTGATGTTGTTGTTGACGTTGTTGTTGATGTTGTTGATGTTGATGTTGTTGATGTTGTTGTTGATGTTGTTGTTGATGGTTGATGTTGTTGATGTTGTTGATGTTGTTGTTGTTGTTGATGTTGTTGATGTTGTTGTTGATGTTGTTGTTGTTGATGTTGTTGTTGTTGATGTTGTTGATGTTGATGTTGTTGTTGATGTTGTTGATGTTGTTGTTGATGTTGTTGTTGTTGTTGATGTTGTTGATGTTGTTGATGTTGTTGATGTTGTTGATGTTGTTGATGTTGTTGTTGTTCATGTTGTTGATGTTGTTGTTGATGTTGTTGTTGTTGATGTTGTTGATGTTGTTGTTGATGTTGTTGATGTTGTTGTTGATGTTGTTGTTGATGTTGTTGTTGATGTTGTTGATGTTGTTGTTGTTGTTCATGTTGTTGATGTTGTTGTTGATGTTGTTGTTGTTGTCTTGGTTTCAGGTTGTGTGTGGCGGATGCTACACCCTGGTGTTGGCACGGTGTGGTGGTGGTGGTGGTGGTGGCGGTGGTGGCGGCGGTGACGGTGGTCGAGTGGTGCAGGTGGTTGCTAATGCGGGAGTGGACGCACGGAGCCGAAGAAGACAGAAGGTGGAAATCACTCACCGCTACACTCACCACTACACTCACCACTACACTCACTACTACACTCACCACTACACTCACCACTACTACACTCACTACTACACTCACCACTACACTCACCACTACACTCACTACTACACTCACCACTACACTCACCACTACACTCACCACTACACTCACTACTACACTCACCACCACTACACTCACCACTACACTCACCACTACACTCACCACTACACTCACCACTACACTCACCACTACACTCACCACTACACTCACTACTACACTCACCACTACACTCACCACTACACTCACCACTATACTCACCACTACACTCACCACCACACTCACCACCACACTCACCACCACACTCACCACTACACTCACCACTACACTCACCACCACACTCACCACCACACTCACCACTACACTCACCACCACACTCACCACTACACTCACCACCACACTCACCACCACACTCACCACTACACTCACCACTACACTCACCACTACACTCACCACTACACTCACCACCACACTCACCACTACACTCACCACCACACGCACCACTACACTCACCACCACACTCACCACCACACTCACCACTACACTCACCACTACACTCACCACCACACTCACCACCACACTCACCACCACACTCACCACTACACTCACCACTACACTCACCACCACACTCACCACCACACTCACCACTACACTCACCACCACACTCACCACCACACTCACCACTACACTCACCACTACACTCACCACTAAACTCACCACTACACTCACCACCACACTCACCACCACACTCACCACTACACTCACCACTACACTCACCACCACACTCACCACCACACTCACCACCACACTCACCACCACACTCACCACTACACTCACCACCACACTCACCACCACACTCACCACCACACTCACCACCACACTCACCACTACACTCACCACTACACTCACCACTACACTCACCACCACACTCACCACTACACTCACCACTACACTCACCACCACACTCACCAACACACTCACCACCACACTCACCACTACACTCACCACTACACTCACCACTACACTCACCACTACTACACTCACCACTACACTCACCACTACACTCACCACCACTACACTCACCACTACACTCACCACTACTACACTCACTACTACACTCACCACTACACTCACCTCCACACTCACCACTACACTCACCACTATACTCACCACTACACTCACTACTACACTCACCACTACACTCACCACTACACTCACCACTACTACACTCACCACTACACTCACCACTACACTCACCACCACTACACTCACCACTACACTCACCACTACACTCACCACTACTACACTCACTACTACACTCACCACCACTACACTCACCACTACACTCACCACTACACTCACTACTACACTCACCACTACACTCACCACTACTACACTCACTACTACACTCACCACTACACTCACCACTACACTCACCACTACACTCACCACTACACTCACCACCACACTCACCACCACACTCACCACCACACTCACCACTACACTCACCACCACCACACTCACCACTACACTCACCACCACACTCACCACTACACTCACCACCACACTCACCACCACACTCACCACTACACTCACCACCACACTCACCACTACACTCACCACCACACTCACCACCACACTCACCACTACACTCACCACCACACTCACCACTACACTCACCACCACACTCACCACTACACTCACCACCACACTCACCACTACACTCACCACTACACTCACCACTACACTCACCACTACACTCACCACTACACTCACCACTACTACACTCACCACTACACTCACCACTACACTCACCACTACACTCACCACTACACTCACCACTATACTCACCACTACACTCACCACCACACTCACCACCACACTCACCACCACACTCACCACTACACTCACCACTACACTCACCACCACACTCACCACCACACTCACCACTACACTCACCACCACACTCACCACTACACTCACCACCACACTCACCACCACACTCACCACTACACTCACCACTACACTCACCACTACACTCACCACTACACTCACCACTACACTCACCACCACACTCACCACTACACTCACCACTACACTCACCACCACACTCACCACCACACTCACCACTACACTCACCACTACACTCACCACTACACTCACCACCACACTCACCACTACACTCACCACTACACTCACCACCACACTCACCACCACACTCACCACCACACTCACCACCACACTCACCACTACACTCACCACTACACTCACCACCACACTCACCACTACACTCACCACTACACTCACCAATACACTCACCACTACACTCACCACTACACTCACCACCACACTCACCACCACACTCACCACTACACTCACCACTACACTCACCACTACACTCACCACCACTCACCACCACACTCACCACTACACTCACCACCACACTCACCACTACACTCACCACTACACTCACCACCACACTCACCACCACACTCACCACCACACTCACCACTACACTCACCACTACACTCACCACTACACTCACCACTACACTCACCACCACACTCACCACCACACTCACCACTACACTCACCACTACACTCACCACCACACTCACCACTACACTCACCACTACACTCACCACCACACTCACCACTACACTCACCACTACACTCACCACCACACTCACCACTACACTCACCACTACACTCACCACTACACTCACCACTACACTCACCACTACACTCACCACTACACTCACCACTACTACACTCACCACTACACTCACCACTACACTCACCACCACTACACTCACCACCACTACACTCACCACTACTACACTCACTACTACACTCACCACTACACTCACCACCACTACACTCACCACTACACTCACCACTACACTCACTACTACACTCACCACTACACTCACCACTACTACACTCACCACTACACTCACCACTACACTCACCACTACACTCACCACTATACTCACCACTACACTCACCACCACACTCACCACTACACTCACCACCACACTCACTACTACACTCACCACTACACTCACCACCACACTCACCACCACACTCACCACTACACTCACCACCACACTCACCACCACACTCACCACCACACTCACCACTACACTCACCACTACACTCACCACTACACTCACCACCACACTCACCACTACACTCACCACCACACTCACCACTACACTCACCACCACACTCACCACCACACTCACCACTACACTCACCACTACACTCACCACTACACTCACCAACACACTCACCACCACACTCACCACCACACTCACCACTACACTCACCACTACACTCACCACTACACTCACCACCACACTCACCACTCCACTCACCACTACACTCACCACTACACTCACCACTACACTCACCACCACACTCACCACCACACTCACCACTACACTCACCACTAGACTCACCACTACACTCACCACCACACTCACCACTACACTCACCACTACACTCACCACCAAACTCACCACTACACTCACCACTACACTCATCACCAAACTCACCACTACACTCACCACTACACTCACCACTACACTCACCACCACTACACTCACCACCACACTCACCACTACACTCACCACTACACTCACCACTACACTCACCACCACTACACTCACCACCACACTCACCACTACACTCACCACTACACTCACCACTACTACACTCACCACTACACTCACCACTACACTCACTACTACACTCACCACTACACTCACCACTACTACACTCACTACTACACTCACCACTACACTCACCACTACACTCACCACTACACTCACCACTACACTCACCACCACACTCACCACCACACTCACCACCACACTCACCACTACACTCACCACCACCACACTCACCACTACACTCACCACCACACTCACCACTACACTCACCACCACACTCACCACCACACTCACCACTACACTCACCACCACACTCACCACTACACTCACCACCACACTCACCACCACACTCACCACTACACTCACCACCACACTCACCACTACACTCACCACCACACTCACCACTACACTCACCACCACACTCACCACTACACTCACCACTACACTCACCACTACACTCACTACTACACTCACCACTACACTCACCACTACTACACTCACCACTACACTCACCACTACACTCACCACTACACTCACCACTACACTCACCACTACACTCACCACCACACTCACCACCACACTCACCACCACACTCACCACTACACTCACCACTACACTCACCACCACACTCACCACCACACTCACCACTACACTCACCACCACACTCACCACTACACTCACCACCACACTCACCACCACACTCACCACTACACTCACCACTACACTCACCACTACACTCACCACGACACTCACCACTACACTCACCACCACACTCACCACTACACTCACCACTACACTCACCACCACACTCACCACCACACTCACCACTACACTCACCACTACACTCACCACCACACTCACCACCACACTCACCACTACACTCACCACTACACTCACCACCACACTCACCACCACACTCACCACCACACTCACCACCACACTCACCACTACACTCACCACTACACTCACCACCACACTCACCACTACACTCACCACTACACTCACCAATACACTCACCACTACACTCACCACTACACTCACCACCACACTCACCACCACACTCACCACTACACTCACCACTACACTCACCACTACACTCACCACCACTCACCACCACACTCACCACCACACTCACCACCACACTCACCACTACACTCACCACTACACTCACCACCACACTCACCACCACACTCACCACCACACTCACCACTACACTCACCACTACACTCACCACTACACTCACCACCACACTCACCACCACACT